AGCACTACAACACTAGTTTTACACTATACAGGTACAAAATGTCTTAAAACACTACATCTTCATTTTTAAAAATCATTGTTTAATTTCCTCCTTAAAAAAAGAAATACTGGCCCTAGCTGGTTTGGCTAAGTGGATAGAGTGTCGGCCTGCAGACTGAAGGGTCCCAGGTTCGATTCAGGTCAAGGGCACATGCCCGGGTTGCGGGCTCGATCCCCAGTAGCGGATGTGCAGGAGGCAGCCAATCAATGATTCCCTCTCATCACTGATGTTTCTCTCTCTCTCCCCCTTCCTCTCTAAAATTAATAAAAAATATACATTAAAAAATTATTAAAAAGAAATCTGCCCGGCTGGTGTGGCCCAGTGTTTGTGCATCCCCCCATGAACCAAGAGGTCACTGGTTCAATTCCCGGTCAGGGCACACGCCTGAGTTGCGGGCTTGATTCCCCAGTGGGGGTGTGTATAGGAGGCAGCGATCATTGGTGTTCCTCTCCCATCCATGTCTCTACATCTCTATCCCTCTCTCTCTTCTCTCTCTAAACAATAAAATCATGTTTTTAAAAAATCTTTGCCTTGGCCGGATAGCTCAGTTGGTTTGAGTGTGATCCCAATATGCCAAGGCTTTGCGTTCTATCTGGATCAGAGCACATACAAGCAGCCAATGAATGCATAAATAAGTGGAACAAATGAATGTTTCTCTGTTATACTCCCCCTTCCTCTTTCTCTCTAGAAATCAATAAATTTTTAAAAATATTTGACAAAGAATTATTTAAGAGTAAACTAACAATGTATAGCACTATCTATCATGCAACTCTGTGCTAAGTAAAGAATAGGCGAAAAGACCCCTTATTTGGGAGTTTTACTAGAACTACAGGTTTAGTAATTCTCTAATATTTTTTCTTCCAATTATCACATCTCTCAGGAATGTTGACTGTGAACATTCCTTGCCCTGAGAAAGCTACAAACAATATTATAACTCTCTAGTATAGAAAAAGCTTGCAACAGGATAAATCACAACACAACATACTGAAAGAAATACCTTTATAAAATAACCTACTTCATCAAATATTTCTCATATGTAAATGATTGCAAATCCCTCTTCAATACTTCAAGTTAATAAACTGAATAATATTTCCATTATGAGAGAAAGTCCATTTTCAGTTGTCAATTTTATTACACCCTCTCCCCAAAAATGCTATGAAATGAAACAAGACATAATATAACTAGATACCTTGTGGGAACAATAAACCTTTCCTGTTTTAAGGGGCGGACCTATCTATCTTATTCCTGGAGCATGCACATAAGGTTATTTTCTAAAATGCAACAGAATTTAGGTCTTTTTCACAACTATTTAACAAAAACCGTATCCATCAGCCAAAAATTGGGAGCAAATGTTTTTAAATTTATCCTTTATATTGAAAATATTGTTAACAGCAGCACTAAAATGACCTATTCTATATACAATTCCCAATCTTATATTAAAGATTTAAATCTTACATTACTGTATGTAAGTACTGTCAATATCTTATAACATAAAATAGGGACAAAGAGAGTTGAAGTTGAGAGCTGGCCCCAGTATGGTGTGATGACAAAATACTAAACTGTCTAAAAATAGTTGACTTTCCCAATCTCTGATTTTTAAATGGGCAAGTGTGGTTTCTTAAAGACATTCTAAAAATAAAAGTCTTGTTTAGGAATAGAATTAAAAGTATTTTTCACTCCTAGATAGCCAATCAAAATTTGCTTCTAAATCCCATACCATATTTTCAAACAAGCCACCAAAGCAAATGCATTAAAAAATAATTTTTAATAGGACAAACACTTCAACCATCAAAAAATAGTAACAACAAAAAACATGGATACCAGGCAAGGATTTTTTTAAAAGAAAAAACTAGAATGGGAACAGATTTCTCATGATAATCCATATGTCTTTACCCTAACATATACAAGGAGGATTTAGATGTAATTCCTCTGAATTATCTGATTTTGGGGGGGGGGGGTGTGAGTATGGAAAGAACTGTCACACTAAAGGTTCTATTTCAATGTTTAAGAATGTTCCTTTCCAGATTGATATTCCAGAGAAAAAAAATAAATAAAAATCTGGAATTATAAACTATTAGTGCATATCTGAGTTTACCTTCCAGATACAATGAGTGAAACTATGTGTCTGTCTATAAAGTTTAGGTAAACCTCTCAATCTTACTAGTTTGAGCAGCAGACCAAGTAGATCAGCTATATTGTTACACAATTTGTGGGTTTAATAACAACTATTTTTAAATCCCCCAGGTAGTTTCATTAAAAAGCTATTACAGGGTCAGAAGCAGCTAATTTGGCACTACTAACAATATAATCTGGAAAAAGGGCTTTTCCCAAGTGATACCAGGTTATGAATTTTTTGCCTGTAACTTCGGGGCCAAGCTCTCATCTTCCTGAATTATTACAATTGTTTCCAAAAACATTGCTCTGATATACAGACTCGGGGTGACCTAAAGGACTATTCTACTTAAATGTATTCACATTTTATTGAGATAACGCAATGGATTACGTCTTAATGTGTTTGAGGCTACAAATGTTAGATAAAACACTTAGATAAAATGAGGTTATTCCCATTGAACGAAAGGTGCTTTTATTATCATCCTATTTAGTTTAAGCAGTGCCATTCGCCATCTACATTCGGCTCACTTTGACACTAAGAGAGATTACTCACACGATCAAAGGTACAAAAATTACTACATGAATGGCAAAGCATTTCATCTCCACCACAGAAACACCCATCTTACAGCTTAAAAGAGCTGCAGGAGCCTACACAGCCTTTTTGTAAAACTATAGAAACAAAATTCACTCCCCGCCAGCAGTGTCCTCATCTCACCTACTTTAACTTTAGATGCTTTGTCCAACTTTCCCTTCATGAATCAAATCAATTTCAACTTAGAAAACGTGAAAGAAAAGAAAGTTTTTAAGATTTGTTACACATCATGTATCCCTACTAAGTTTAAAAAGTTACTGAAATATTAAGTTCCCATGAAGGTAATAAAGCCTGAACACATCAGATGAGTCGCATGCAGGCCCTGGAGACCACAGTGCTTCAGCCGATTAGAAAGCGGGGAGGAAGCCGTGGGCATGACTGTAAAACAGATCCACAACAGCAAACCCAGGAGAATCTCACCCAAGTCATTTAACATAATGGTAAATTTTGAAACTTTAAAAAAATATCCTCACTTGGCTACAGTTTATTTTGTAATAATAAATTTCGATCTATTTTCTTTCCCATGAACTTAACAGCTCCCCTGTTCTAACCATGAGACAGCTGGTTAGAATGGGTAGTCGATCAGATCTTTAGTTGTAGTTTTCTAACAATGACTCTGCCCACAGAATGGAGAATCAACCTATGCCCGACTGTCAACTCTCTCAAAGCTGTTACTGTTCGTTAACACGATAAGCATGTGACAAACACACCTCTAGCCCTGCTCGCTCAATTTTACGTAACGACGGACACGGCCCTTTCGGAAAGAGGAATCTTCAAACCAGCTAACAAAACAAGCCCCCCACACACATCATACCGTAGCACACAGGGTGCCACCATCTACAACATGGATGGGACCCAAAACTCGTGTGGGTGGAGGCAGGGTGAAGACAGGGGCTATGGGGCGCCCCAACAAATCGCGAGGCTAATCAAAACCCTCAACAAGAAAACTTTTTAATGTAACTAAAGACCCGAGGCAGGCATAACGCCTCCGTGCCCCCATAACGCCCACGGAATAAACGCCTCCTGAACACATCGGGGCTCGCACAAGTTTCCCCGAAAAGGCCCGAGTACACGGAGGGAACTAGAAATCGCAGGCAGCCACGCTGCGGCGGAAAAAAACGGCTCCTCTGGACGCCCAGGGACTCGGCTTCATCCCTGGCCCAACCACTCGCTCCCGGAGTGACCTTGGGCCAACCATTCCCTCTCTCTAGGCCTCAGTTTCGTTCTCTTTCGAGCGAGAACGTGAAGTCTTTCTGTTCAGAGCGTCAACTCTGGCCCAACTTCCTGTGATTCCGAATGGGCTTTTGGGCAGCCAATAATCAATGCCAGAAAAAGGAGGAAAAAAAAGCTGAAAACCGGTTCTGTGGGTCAGAAGCAAAAGCACCGTGGCTGGAAGAAGAGCAAGTGGACCCTGACCCAGCAGAGCGCCGCGCCGGGTGTGGGGGGCGGAGGAGCCCGGGGGAGGCCGGAGGTGGGCCGGCCCGGCTCCCGGCCCCTGCGGGAGGTGGAGTCGAGGTTCTCGCGTGCATTGTCCCCGGGAGGGAGCCATGTTTCTTCCTCCCCGGCACTCCCAGATGGCGGCCCGGGGCGCGGGGGCCTAAGCAGACCGAAGACCCAGGGCCTGAAGAGCGAGGTGGGGGGAGGGGGAGTGGTTGGCAGGGTGGAGGAGCCGGCTCCGGCCCGAGTGGCTCCGTCTCCGGGGCGGCGGCCCCCAAGGCGCACCAGGAGGCGACAGGGGGACGGAAGGGCCCCCAGGGCGACAGTTCCCGGCTCCGCGCCTCCCGCTCCCGGGTCAGTTGGAACGAGAAGGGGAACCCATGCCCAACTACGGTCTGGGACGGCGGCGGGCCGGCCGCATCGACCCCCTCTCCGGCAGCAGTCCGGCCGCGGAACAGCGAGAAGCAGGCGCGGGCCCCCCGACCTCTGAGGCCTCGGCTACCCCAGCCCCGAGCGCCCCGACCCCTTACTCACCGTTGGCGCGTTTGAGGGCATTTTCCGGCCTCTGGAAATAGGCCGGCATCTTGGCGGCAGGCTCAGCTCACCCAGCGTCAGGGAACTCCTTAGTGGCCCGGGCCGAAGGGGAACCAGCGCGAGGTCCCACGCGCCTCACCAGCAGTCGCCCGCGCCCAGCCAGCCAGCCAGCGATGGAAAGGAGGGACCCACGTGACCTCCGCGCGGCGGCGGCGCCGCGGCCCAGGCCCCGGATGTCGGGGGCGGGCCTCCGCGTGCGCACCACCCGTCTCCCGCGCGCATGCGCGCTGGCTTTACGCGCGGCGGCTGACGTGGCCGCGGCTGGCGCCCTCCGCGCGCTTAGGTGCCCCCTCGGAACTCCGAGGTTGAACGCCAGGGGAGCGGTTCTCAGGCTCCTCACCGCTCAGGCGACGACACTCGGGCTGGGACAGGTGAGATTTGGGTCCGAGTTCTGTCTCACTAGAAGGCAGGCGTCTGCACGGATTTATTTTCACCGTGATTTGTGCAGGAGTCGTGCAGAGTTGGAACCCGTCCGGTGCATCCGCCCAGCAGCGGTTCTCAACCTGTGGGTCGCGGCCCCTTTGGGGGTCGAACGACCCTTTCACAGGGGTCGCCTAAGACCATCGGAAAACACATATATAATTACATATTGTTTTTGTGATGAATCACTATGCCTTAATTATGTTCAATTTGTAACAATGAAAATACATCCAGCATATCAGATATTTACATTACGATTCATCATAACAGTAGCAAAATGACAGTTATGAAGTAGCAACGAAAATAATTTTATGGTTGGGGGTCACCACCACATGAGGAACTGTATTTAAGGGTCGCGGCATTAGGAAGGTTGAGAACCACTGGAACGGAAATGCACGGAGCAGGTGTACCTAGGTCAGCGCTGCTCAGGGGGGGGGGGGGGGGGGGGGGGGGGGGTGGCCCGCCCATCACGGACTAGCGTGGGGAGGAGCGATGCAGCGGGTACCTGCAGAAGCAAGCTCATTTCACATCTAGGTAACAAAAGCGTGGGTGAGTCCCAGCCGGTTGGCCCCGTGGATAGAGCGTCGGCCTGCGGACTGAAGGGTCCCGGGTTCCAGTCCAGTCCAGGGCATGTGCCCGGGTTGCAGGCTCGGTCCCCGGTAGGGGGCGTGCAGGAGGCAGCTGATGCATGATTCTCATCATTGATGTTTCTCTCCCTCTCCCTCTCTGAAATCAACAAAAAGGCATTTTTAAAAAATAAAAACATTGGTGACACAGAGATTGCCTGAGTGGGGGGAGGGGAGGTTCCCAGACAAGGCTAGTGGGGAGCTGAGACCTGAAAGACGGGAACAGACCAGTGACAGCAACCTGGCAGAGGGCATAAGCGCCGCAGCAGGACAGACCTGCTTGTTCGCAAACACGCGGAGTGCTGTCGCCTTGACCTTCAGCACACGTGACAAACGTAAGAAAATGAGCGCTAGTGACAAGAAGATCAATGTGTAACTGGCCTTTTGCTGCAGTCTTTATTGTTGATTAATAACCTTAATGTTCAAACATTATTTACACCTAGAGTTTGAAAGTCACTTAAACCGAATGTAATTGCTCAAGCCCTTGGTCTGAAATTCAGATGACTTCAGAAGAAAAATTCAGAAAGCAGCAGTGGAATAAATTATCGCAACTCATATTACACATTTTGTAATAACAGAGGATATGGGTGGACTAATGAGTACTACATTAATGAACAAGAAAACCACAGTATATACACAAAAAGAATTTCCGCTCATTTTTTCTGCTTCAGCAAATAGGTGTGTGTGTTTTTTCTATTTAACTGTAAATTTATCACTGTGAAAAAATTTGGGGGAAATGCAGATGGACCAAAAAAAAATAAATCACAAATTCTAAAAAAGATTATTTTTAAATTAAAATTCAGAGAGTTCTTCCTCCAAAATGTTTGAACCACTCCAAATGTCTGAGCTTACTCCTCAAAAACATAAGAGCCAGACAGGGTTGGGCAACAAGTACTAAGAAGCTGTAGGAACTGTTTTATGGGGCAGGATCAAGAGACTCGTGTCTGTGTATATAATAATTAAGTCAAAATTAAAGAGCTACACATAGAGCGAATACAGCTTTTAAATGCTGTAGATAAAAAACTAGTAGACCATAGAGAGACGTAACAGAATAAAATAGAAGGAAACCTGGCCTAAGAAAAAGCTTTCCAACATTCTTATTTTTCCATTATCATATCTGAATGGAAACGTTAATAAGATGAACTCATTAATTAATACTCATTATTTGGCAGACCTAAAACGAAGCAAACACTAGAAAATTGGGAGGTAAAATGAAATAGAGTATCTCTGTTTCTTTACCTTTTCTCACGTTAAAGCATGTGAAGCATATGGGAATAGCTAATGATCATTTAAGTGCACTAAGTAAAGTTATTTAGAGTCTGGTACTGTATTTGTGAATAAGTAAAGGTATAATGTCAATTTCCAGGATAAATTTACCTATTAAATTCAACCAACAAGTATTCAGTACCAACTAACAGCCATAATGTTAGGTGCTGGGAATAAAAAGATATAAGATGCCTGCTTTCAAGGACTTGATTCACTGGTGCAGGTGATACAAGATAGGACCTATTCTGGGCCAGGAGAAAAGCAACTTGTTGATTAATGCTCACTTATCCTATATAATAAAAGGCTAATATGCAAATTGACCAAATGGCGGCATGACTGGTCGCTACGACGTGTACTGACCACAGGGGGCAGATGCTCAACACAGGAGCTACCCCCTGATGATCAGTGCGCTCCATCAGCTTATGTTGTTCATCAGCTTATGTTGTTCATTATATTCCACAAATGAGTGAGATCCTGTGGTATTTATCCACTCTCAAGTTCCATCCATGCTGTGGCAAATGGTAAGAGTTGGTACTTACCATTGACAAGAAGATCAATGTGTAACTGGCCTTTTGCTGCAGTCTTTATTGTTGATTAATAACCTTAATGTTCAAACATTATTTACACCTAGAGTTTGAAAGCCACTTAAACCGAATGTAATTGCTCAAGCCCTCGATTCTGGTCGATTCTGGTCAAGGGCATGTACCTTGGTTGCAGGCACATCCTCAGTAGGAGGTGTGTAGGAGGCAGCTGATCGATGTTTCTCTCTCATCGATGTTTCTAACTCTCTATCCCTCACCCTTCCTCTCTGTAAAAAATCAATAAAATATATTTTTAAAAAAACAGTTGTTAAGGGTGAAACAGGTACTACTTTATACATATTTGCATAAGGGGAGGGGAGGGCCCCGCTCAGCCAGAAACCAGGCTCACGGCTGGCGAGCGCAGCAGCAGTGGCGGGAGCCTCTCCCTCCCCCGCTGCAGCGCTAAGGATGTCCGACTGTCGGCTTAGGCCTGCTCCCAGTTAGACATCCCCCAAGGGCTCCCAGACTGAGAGAGGGTGCAGTCTGGGCTGAGGGATGCCCCCCCCCCAGTGCACAAATTTCATGCACCGGGCCTCTAGTGAGAAAATAAACAACCTGAATATGTAAGAAACCACTTTAGGAAATGGTAAGAGGAAGTGATCAGATTGATGAAGGATATTTTCCTTAATGAAGCTACTTTTATACGACATATGACTGGATAATTTCTCTTAATACGATATTTTGGGGGGGTTTCTGACTTGAGGGAAGTAAATAAGATTCTCAAAAAAACAGTGCACCTGGCGTACAGGGCCACTCTATCAACACAGGGAAGCTGCCAAAATGCGGAGACAAAGAAACAGGTCACAAATGGCAGAAATGGAGGAAAGCAAACGATTGGATATAGAGTTTAAGGCCACGGTTATAAGGTTTTTCAAGAATTTTATGGAAACCGCCGATAAATTTAATGAATCCCCCAATAAGTATAGTGAGACCATGGAGGACATGAAAAAGGACCAACTAGAAATTAAGCATACACTGACTGAAATAAAGAATAATTTACAGAGATCCAGCAGCAGAAAAGAGGATCCCAAGAATCAAGTCAAAGATTTGAAATACAAAGAAACAAAAAATACCCAACCGAAAAAGAAAAAAGAAAAGAGATTCCAAAAATATGAAGATAGTGTAAGGAACCTCTGGGACAACTTCAAGCGTACCAACATCAGAATTATAGGGGTACCAGAAGGAGAGAGAGGGCAAGATATTGAAAACCTTTTTGAAGAAATAATGACAGAAAACTTCCCCTACCTGGTGAAAGAAATGGACTTACAAGTCCAGGAAGCGCAGAGAACCCCAAACAAAAGGAATCCAAGGAGGACCACACCAAGACACATCATAATTAAAATGCCAAGAGCAAAAGATAAAGAGAGAATCTTAAAAGGAGCAAGAGAAAGACAGTCAGTTACCTACAAGGGAGTACCCATACGACTGTCAGCTGATTTCTCAACAGAAACCATGCAGGCCAGAAGAGAGTGGCAAGAAATATTCAAAGTGATGAATAGCAAGAACCTGCAACCAAGATTACTTTATCCAGCAAAGCTATCATTCAGAATAGAAGGTCAGATAAAGAGCTTCACGGATAAGAAAAAGCTAAAGGAGTTCATCACCACCAAACCAGCATTATATGAAATGCTGAAAGGTATTCTTTAAGAAGAGGAAGAAGAAAAAGGAACTCTTACCATTTGCCACAGCATGGATGGAACTTGAGAGCGGATAAATACCACAGGATCTCACTCATTTGTGGAATATAATGAACAACATAAGCTGATGAACAAGGACTGATCCAGAGACGGAGAGGCATTGATTGGACTGTCGGGACTTGGAGGGAAGGTAGGGGAGGGTGGGGGTAAGGGGGAAAGATCAACCAAAGGACTTATATGCAAGCATATAGGCCTAACCAATGGACATGGACAACGGGGGGGTGAGGGCATGAGCGGGGGTGGGGGGGGTGGGGGGTAGAGGGTAACGTGGGGACAAGGACACATATGTAATATCTTAATCAATAAAAAATATATTAAAAAAAAAAAAAAAAAACAGTGTTGCCCTAACCGGTTTGGCTCAGTGGATAGAACGTCGGCCTGCGGACTGAAGGGTCCCGGGTTCGATTTTGGTCAAGGGCATGTACCTTGGTTGCAGGCACATCCTCAGTAGGAGGTGTGTAGGAGGCAGCTGATCGATGTTTCTCTCTCATCGATGTTTCTAACTCTCTATCCCTCACCCTTCCTCTCTGTAAAAAATCAATAAAATATATTTTTAAAAAAACAGTTGTTAAGGGTGAAACAGGTACTACTTTATACATATTTGCAACATAATATCTTACAGCTTTAAAACAAGTATTATGTTTTAGAGTTTACAGAATGCTTTTTACATTCATCGTTTTGTTTATAAGAATGCTGTAATGATGGTATTTATACTGATGAACATAAATTTTAGAGAGGTAAACTAAGATTCACGGTTATACTAGTACATTATTCAACAAACCTTTATCAAATGCGTACCATGTGCCACACACGGGGAATAAGCACCTATAGGTGCACAGCAGTGAACAGGGCAGATGTGGTTCCTGCCTTCTTGGACTTGGCTTTCTAGAGAGAGAAAGACTTCAAGCACTTGCCAGAAGCTCTATGAAGACGGAGACGCTACTCCCCTCTAAGCCCCCATTGTCTACCACACCCAAGGTCTTTTGGTGCCTAGACAGCTCTCTCTCCCACCTCTAACGGGGGGGGGGGGGGGGGGTAAGGGGGTGTGGGGGGAGGCCATGCCACCACTTCACTTGGAACATTCTTCACCGCCATCCATTTATTGCTCTGATGACAGCCACCTATTTATACTTCAGGTTAAACGTCACTTCCTCCAGGATTCTTCCCTGGCCCCCCAGTTAGTTTAGGTGCCAAGGCAGTGAGCACTAACAACATCCTGCCTGCACTGATCAGACTTCAGTATAATTACTTGCAGACTGTACGCTTAGCGAGTGGAAGGACCATCTTTGTGTTGTTCACCATTGTGTCACTAATGCCTCACAGAGAACCAGGCAGATCGGATGCTCAAAAAATGCTAGTGAGCCCGGCCGGCGTGGCTCAGTGGTTGAGCATCAAACCTGTAAACAAGGAGGTCACGGTTTGATTCCCTGTCAGGGCACATGCCTGGGTTGAGGGCTCAATCCCCGGTAAGGGGTGTGCAGGAGGCAGCCAATCAATGATTCTCTCTCATTATTGATGTTTCTTTTTCTCCCTCTCCCTTCCTCTCTGAAATCAATAAAAATGTATTTAAAAATAAATAAAGTGAATCCAGCCCCTGTGCACTAATGCATTGGGTTCCATCTCTGCTCACACACAGGGTTCATCAAGCCATCCTTCCTGAAACACTTTCTCCACTTGGCTCCCAGGCTCACCCTTTCCTGATTTTCTTCCTGCCTCTCTGAATACCCAGTCTCCTTTGCTGATGTCTCCTCACCACTCTGACCTCTAAGGTTGCAAAGAAGTCCACGCCCCTAGACCGCTTCCCTCTAACTACATCCATCCCTTGTTTCTAGCTCATGGCTTTAGACATCACCTCTATGTTTATAAGTTACAAAACTGCATCACCAGCGCTTGGCCTCTTCCCTGAAAGCCAGTCAGTCTCACACCCAGATGCCTATTTGGCACATCCATTAAATTTTGGACATACAGCATAACCCAGCCGGCCCCAAACCAGACGCCTGGTGTCTTCTGCCTCCACCCTGCTGCTCCTGTCACCTTGCCCATGCAAAAGGATGGCAGCCTTGTTCTTACGGTTGCTCAAGCCAAAAAGGTTGGAGACTTCCTTGACTACTTTTTCTGTCACAGCCCCACGTCCAATCAATCCTTCAACAAATCCCATAGCTACCTCCACAGCTACCACTCTGGTCCCAGGCACCCTCATTTCTCACCTGGAGTGTATAATGACCTGCTAACTCGTCTTTCTGTTTCCCCTTTGCTCCCTTCTCTTTACTCTCCACATAGCAAGCAGGGGAATCCTTTCAGAACAAAAGTGAGATGATCATGTCAGTCTCCCGATCAAGACCCTCTGTGGCTCCCCAGCTCATGCAGTGATAGTCAAAGTCCTTATAATGACCTGTAGGGCCCTATCCAACTCCTCCCCTTCCCCTTGTCCCTCCCACACCAGTGTCACCTTTTCAATGATGTCTTCTTTCAACTCTTTAATGAAATAACCTACCTTCCTCTCATACTTCCAAACACCTTTCTCTCTTTTTAAAAATATATTCTTATTGATTTCAGAGAGGAAAGGAGAGGGAAAGAGAGAGAGAAACATCAATGATGAGAGAGAATCATTGATCGGCTGCCTCTTGCACGCCCCCTCCTGGGGATCGAGCCCACAACCTGGGTATGTGCCCTTGACCAGAATCGAACCTGGGACCCTTCTGTCCACAGGCCGATGCTCTATCCACTGAGCCAAACTGACTAAGGCCACCTTTCTCTTTTTTAACAAAATTTTCCTCCATAGCCTTTATTTGCTTGTCACCATCTGATCCCCAACACATTTTATGAGTTTATGTCTTTACTGTCTAGACTATAATAAGTTTGACGAGGGCAGGGATTTGTTTCTGTTTGGTTCAACTGCTGTATCTCTGATATCTATACTGCCTGGCACAGAGGAAGCGCTCAATAAATATTTGTTGAAAAAATGACTTAATTGATTAAAGCAAGCCTCCTATGTTATAATTGCCATCTGCATGGTGTTCTCCCCTCTGACCCTGGAAGTCCCTTGAAGGTAATGACTGGGATGGTTCATCTTAGTTTATGGACAGTACCTGGCACATGCTCAACCCCCAGAAAGTGGCTTTTTAGCATGTGCTTCTGAGCACCTGATAGTTCCAGCTTCATGATAGCAAACAAGGTCCGAAACCTCACAGTCTTGCATTCCTAACCACGCAAGTGTCCACCTGGGATTGGAAATCCTTTCAACAGTGGCGGACCAAGGGCCGATGGGTGCACTGTGCCTGTGCCAGGCAGTTCTCACGGAACCTTTAGGTTCTGCAAATTGAAAGCAGGAAATTGGGATGCAGATTCACTTGAGTATATTTTTAGCAGAAAGGTATCCTGGCAGTACAAATACATACACCCATGAGTCTTCATCCATTAGTATTTGCCAGACTCCAGGAGAGCGCTGAGGGGAAGTTAGAGGCATGTTTGTGGGAACTGGAGCATATACTTACACATGCCATTGTTGGCATGCCTTGAAGCCCAGCTCCTGCTTGGAAATTAAGGAGGTTAAGCCCAAAGCTACACAAAACAATAGGGTGAAGGAAACAGAATGAGTAAGACACTGTGCATCGTGGTTTTGGGTGTGGTTTGAAAACAGGCGTCTCTGTTAAATGTGTAGAATATGATTAGAAGGAACCCTGGAACCACAGGGTGTGGGCTTCCCTCTTGGGTTTGTGGATATTAGACAGTCTTACATGGACCTTTTCAGTGTGTTATCTTCTCAGGGAGCAACCAAAATGGCCCCTCCTCCGGGATTTCCCTCCTTTCCTGACACCCAATCTAAATCTAAATGCCACCCTATGTCAGTTCTCAGCAGAGCATTCCTTACTAACTGATAGTTTTCTTCGTCTCCGTGGTTATTGTCTGTCTCACCACACTAGATGGTAAGCTTTAAGGGACCAAGTTTGTCTTGTTCACCATTATTTCCCCAACGCCTGGAACTATGCCTGGCACAGGGAAGGCACTCCATAAACGTGAGATGTGTGAATTGTGAGAATGAACAAGTCATCGTTTCTGTCAAAGAACAGTTTAGGCAGCCACCATGTTGGCCACATGACTTGCAGCTCCCCTGGGGACCACCATCTTGAACTGCAAAGGCCACCCCTCCCTTCAAATGAGCCAATCGCGAAAGACTGTGCACCTGAGCTCCAATCAAGAGTGAGGGATAGGTCACGTGCATCAGGATGAAAAAGCGAGGCAGACCACCTGCTCAGTGTGCAGTGCTCCCAGACCGTGTGCTGCGCACCCTCCTGCAAGAGTAAAGATGTTTGCCTTGCTGCCTGGCTCCCGAGTATGATTCGTGTTCTACCAGGACCCCTGAATTTGGGGGCTCACCTTATTTCTCACAGAATAAATAAAGGGGGGGAGGTTGGGGGTTAATGGGGGGGATGAGGACACATTTGTAATACCTTAACAACAACAAAAAAAGAATAAATAAAGGAATGGAGACTGTGGTAGGCCGATTCTAAGAGGCCCCACACACCCCCAAGACTCCACCCTATATAATACCTGGGACTGTAACTATGATGTGTTATTATTCCTGTGATTAGCTTATACATGTTACAATTGACGAAAAAGGAGAGCTATCTGGATTGGTCTGACCAAACTCATGAGCCCTTTAAATCTCTTTAAAGCATTCAATGAGATTCAAAGCAAGCATGAGAGGGAATATGGAGGGAGCCACATGGCAAGGAATTGCAGATGGCCTCTGGAAGCTGAGAGCAGTCCGCCAGCCAACAGCCAGCTAATGAACAGAGAGGTCAGTCCTACAAGTGCAAAGATCTGAATTCCTTCAGCAACTCGGATGAGTGTGGAGGCAAATTCTTCCCCAGTGTCTCCAGAAAGGAATGCAGCTTGACCAGCACCTGGACTTCGGTGTGACAAAACCCTGAATGGAGAACCCTATCTTGCCGCACCTGGACTTATAAATTACAGGACTGTGAGCTAACAAATGGGTGTTGTTTTATTTTATTTTTTAAAATATATTTTTACTAGAGGCCCAGTGCATGAATTCATGCACGGGTGGGGTCCCTCTGCCTGGCCGGCAATCAGGGATGATTGGGGCAGGCCAGCGGGGGCGGAGGGGGGGGGGGGGGGGGCTATGGGAGGTGGGCCGGCTGTGGGAACACACTGACCACCAGGGGGCAGCTCCTGTGTTGAGCGTCTTCCCCCTGGTGGTCAGTGCGTGTCATAGTGACCAGTCAACCAGTTGTTCTGTTGACCGGTCTAACAGTCGCTTAGGCTATTATATATATAGATTGATTGTAGAGGTGAAGGGAGAGGGAGAGAGACAGAAACATCAATGATGAGAGAGAATCATTGATCAGTTGCCTCCTGCGTGTCCCACACTGGGGATCGAGCCTGCAACCTGGCTAGTGCCCTGGCTGGGAATTGAACCATGACCTCCTGGTTCATAGGTCAATAATCAACCACTGAGCCACAATGGCTAGACTAAATTACCACTAAGTTTGTGGTAATTTGATTTGTTTCACAGCAATAGAAAATTAATACAGAGACCTTAACAGTTTTCTCCATATTAACAGAGAAGGAAGAATGAAGCGCTAAAGGAGTCTAAAATTCTAAAGTGCTTTTGCCTTGCATGAAATGAAAACAAACCACAGCTCAATGGAGGACAAAGGCAAGTTGTGTAGGTTTAACTGTACAAATTTAGACTGTTGAGCAAAGCCCCATAGAAGGAATCAGAGACTGCTCCACAGTGGTGTTCTGTTTGTTTTTCTCTTAAGAGGAAGTTTATTTAGACCAGCTGTGGGCAAACTACGGCCCGCGGGCCCGATCCGGCCCGTTTGAAATGAATAAAACTAAAAAAATAAAAAAGACCGTACCCTTTTATGTAATGACGTTTACTTTGAATTTATATTAGTTCACACAAACACTCCATCCATGCTTTTGTTCCGGCCCTCCGGTCCAGTTTAAGAACCCATTGTGGCCCTCGAGTCAAAAAGTTTGCCCACCCCTGATTTAGACAGTCACAGCGGTAGAAGTAAGTGGTAGAAGAAATGGGCTCAGGAAACAAGTTCCTGAGGCAAAAGAAGGGACCCTTGGAGCTTAGGAGAGAGAAAGGTGAAGGTGTCATGCATCTGGAGAGAAGAAGGGGGGAGGGGAAAGACGCAGGCCTGTCCCTGGAGTTAGGGCACCTCCACGGTGTTTTAGAACTAGGGACTATGTTTCATTTCCTAGAGAACTGGATCACAAATACATCTCAGTTCATCCTGTAAGCATGCCACGTTTGGAGTTTGACATGGCTTCAAACCCCAGCTCTGCCATTTACTAGCACCATGACTTTAGGCAAGTAATCTCTCTGAGCCTCGGTTTTATCATCTGTGTAATAGGCATGATGAGTTTGGTGGAGGTTTCAATGAGATGCTACCTGTAGCACTCAGCATAATCCCTGACACAAGCTCTCTAGAGATAATTCTCACGTATATGCAGAGAAGAGGGACAAAAATCATGCATAGACTATTTATAGCTTCTTTCTGCCCCCTTAGCTACTCTAAAATATTCTGATATTAGCTTCCATCCCTACCTTCCCTGTTTTCCCTACCTACTAGTGTATTCATTAGGTACATAGGGTAATGAGTTGGGAAGGCAGCTGCTGAAGTGGCATAGGAGATTCAAGTAAGAAAGGGCTGAGATAAGAAAAGAGGAAGAATAGAGGGGCAGGGAAAGGCTGAATGGTGAAGAAAGGGAAAGAGACGCCCTGGCTTGTTTGGCTCAGTGAGTAGACCATTGGCCTGGGGACTGAAGGGTCCTGAGTTTAATTCCAGTCAAAGGCACATGCCTGGGTTGTGGGCTCAATCCGCAGTGGAGGGCGTATAGGAGGCAGCCGATCAATGATTCTCTCTGATCATCACTGATGTTTCTATCTCTCCCTCTCCTTTCCTCTCTGAAATCAATAAAAATATATTTTTAAAAAAGAATCAACCAATGAATGCATAAATAATTGGAACAGCAAATCAATGTTTCCCTCTCTCCCTTCCTCTCTCTCTCTCTTAAAAAAAAAAAATTACTATAGGTAATGAATTATATTCTCATTAATGTTCTTTGAAAAATGTAGATAAGGATATGAATTTATTTTAATTACAGTTTTCTTGCTGAACTGTTTCTTTTAATGCAACACAGCTCCAAAGCTTGGCTTCCTGGGGCCTGGGATCTACTCAGGTTCCATTATCAGCGCCCTGAAACTGTGGAGACACAAGAAGGACCACTTCCTTTGGGGAATGTTCTGGAAGCCTCACATACGCTGGAAGCCAGTTAACCCTCAGGACAATGTCAGGGAAATTGACTGAAGCTCCTTCCAGAGGTGACTTCCTGGTTCCCAAGCTGGCCTGGAAACCCTTACAAGAGCTGCCACTCCAATGGCTCTCTTAGCTGACACCTGCCTAATCTCTCATTGAATCCAATTATGGGAAAAAGACAAAAAGCGCCCGTTTGGCTCCCAGGGACCTGGGAATTAGAACATCTGTGACCGCCTTACAATCCCTTGTCCACACGCCCAGACAGTTTGGGCACTTTTCACCTCCACATTAGTGCCAACCACTTCTTACTCTTTTCCTGGGGAGTGATGAGCGAGCAGGCTGTGCAAACAGGACTTAGCTGGCTGAGATTGCCATCCTTAGAAAAGTCTGCTGGTGAGTAGGCCCTTGGCTGGTGTCTGCGAACTTCAACTTCAGGAGTGCTCCCACCATTCCCAAAATTTATAAGCGTGACTGACTACGCCTAAACTTTTTGTACAAACAGTGGGGTTCATGCTGACCATGTTTCCTTCCGAGACCCTGGAATTTTGATGTGTGTTAGGCAGAAGATGCCTACGTGACTGGCCCCCAATAAAAAAAAAACCCGAGTCTCTAATGCACACTGGGTCTTTAATGAGCTTCCCTGGTCAACAATATTTTTTGTGTGTTGTCACTTGTTGCTGGAGGAATTAAGTGCATCCTGTGTGATGCCACTGGGAGAGAACTTCTGGAAGCGTGGGTCTACTTTTCTCTGGACACCACCCCATGTGCCTTTTCCCTTTGCCGATTTCACTTTGTATTCTCTGGCAGTAATAAATCATAGCCATGAGGACAGCTATATGCTGAATCGCGCGAGTCCCTCAACAAGTCATTGAATCTGGGGCTGGTTTTGGGAACCTCCTACACAAGGCTATCTCTGTCTATAAAAATAGCATAAAGGCTTTTTTCTTCATTCAGATCTTCATTGGGAGAGGTACAGAGGACGGGATAAATGGTTCCATTTGGTCACTGAGAAAACAAGCACAGAGAAGAAAGGCAACTTAGTGAGGTTTCATAGCTAAGATGGCAGAGCTGGGACTAGAATTCGGGTTTGTCTGTTTCCACATCCTTCCGTTAGTGACAGTTCAGCAATCTTATTGCTAAAGGTTGGAAATAACTCCCTTCTCTCTACCCCTTTTTCCTTCCCCTTAACTCTGGGGAACCTGTCTGGCAGGTCTGACAGCACCTAGTGGTGAAATGGGAGGAAGGGTGGCATCAATTCCACTCACCCTCCCTCCTACCCATGGATAACCTCTCTACCCTTGGCCCTGTGTCCCACTCCATCCAAGCTTGGCCACTGCCTTCCTTAGCCTTCCCTTCCTGTACCCACCACCTTCTGACAACTTTGTTTTAGAATCTATTGACCACTGTCTTTATCCTCATTTATTTTCTGAGTGCCTCCTATGTGTCAGAGACAAGGGTGGCACCTACAGGCCTTGGCCACTTGGAGCCGCTCCCTAACACATTCATTGAGGAAATACTTACGGTCAGGGACTGCTGAAGACACAGCATGAACAGCCCCACCGGGGCAGGGAGAGGCAATTCACCTAACACACTTTCATCCTGCTCCACCTCTTTTTCTCTCTCCTCAAGTATGGATCTTTAGGTCTGAAATCTCAGAAGCAAGATCTCTGGTCATGCCTTCCCTCCCCCTTTCTGTGTTCCCATCTGATCTCTGCTATGGTTATATCTGTATCCATCTCCCCACCCTTGAGCCCATGTCACAGCCTGTTGTGCAAATGCTTCACTCTGAGCAAGGGAGATCGAGTTTTACTGATTCTACAGTCTTGCTAAGCTAATGGGAAATGATTCTCCCAGCCAAAATGATACTACATATTTTGGGCTAAATGTCTGTAAGATTCAGCAAATTACCTTGGTGAACGGTGAAAGATCAGAGATTTGGGGTACATAAATTTAACATATTTTCTCTTTAAAAAAGTGTTTTTAATGATTTTTAGAGAGAGAGGAAGGAAGAGGGATAGAGAGATAGAAACATGGGTAAGAGAGGACCCCCCCAAAAAAGAGACGACCATCAATCGGCTGTCTCCTGCACACACTCCCCCCGCCCCCTCCCCCCAATCAATCGAATCTGCGGTAATGGAACCGTTGACCTCTTTGTTCATGGGTCAGTGCTCAACCACTGAGCCACACCAGCCCAGCCATATTTTCTCATTTCTTTCTGTTTACCATGTTTCATCAAATCTAGAAATGCCATCAATGATTGAACATGTCATTTTGTGTACCATTAAGAAAAAAAGGACACTCCCAATTGTAACTGTAGGATGCATCCCAGTTTCAGAGATTTTAAAATTTGAACTATTGGAAGCAATCCATACAGTATTTTTTAAAATTATGAAATAAAGCTGATGGGAAGCACATTGCCTGGAGGACTAGCTGCTGGTGACCAGGAGACCGCTGGAGCGGCTAGTCCTCCAGGCCTCGTGTCCGTGCCACTCCCTGGACCCACAGTGGGCAGGAGTAGGTAACTTGATGAGTGGGGGCCCTGCTGCTCTCCTCCAGCTGTGCCAGGAGGAAGTCACAGCCCTGTTCAGGGAGTGGATGCCCTTGGAGGTGAAGGGAGGAAGCTCCCACGAGGAGCCGCGTGTGTATTTGTAAGGGTAGTCCTCCCCTGAAAACAGCTCTCCCTCAAGAATGGCTTCCCTAACAGCCTCAGCACATCGGACGCTTCCCAGCGTGGGACCACCAGCGAAGACAAGGCCATGGCCAAAACCATCCGCAACCTGAGGAAGCCTGTTCTCCGACTAGCCCGGTCCTGCCTGGGAGGGGTGCTGTTACACTCTCCCCTCTCCCACCTCACCTTCCTTCTCAGCCTTGGCTCCTGACGGGAACAGAATGGAGGGCCTGAGAATATACTTTATAACGCCTCTGCCCCAGAAAAAGAAATTATGAAATAAAAATAAAAGGAGGAGAAAAAACTGCTGAAGTCTTACCTACCTAGAGAAAACCATTTCATTAGCATCTGTTAGAATGTTATTATCTTCAATATTTTCAATGACATTTTTTACAGTTATGGACCTTACATATAGTACATTTATTATGCATAATGTATTAAATATATATACCTACACGTATTTGTAGATATAGACATTTATAGTATACATTTCTAAATAGGTAGGCATTTTATTTATATAGTTCATAATGTTTGGGGTGCTATATAGATGTTGATGTGAACAAAGCTGACCCCATCTTTGTGTGCCCTCTAATTTCCCCCTGGTTTCCATGCTGAGTCTCAGCCAGCACCAAAGCCTCATAGTTAATGATTAGCTGTATCCTGTAACCAAGATTCCTGTCAGTAAAGGGCCAGCATGGCATATCAAACGAAGTACTGGCATCGATTGTAAGCAATTATCCATCATAAGACCACCAGGAGGTATGGTTCCTGTCTCAAGCTACATTCTTTGTCCCTTCGCCTTGTCAATCATTAGTAGTTCAGCTGTACTAGAAAACACCTACTGTAACAACTGAAGAGCAGGGGAGAATAATCTGTGTAGACTACTGAGTCGTCTTTTCCGTCCCGACTCAATCTTCCCTGTAAGCAAATTACCTTACAATAAATTCTGTTATACTCAATGAATTTGCCTGCTTTGTTTTTTAGTCTTTTTTTTTTTTAATATATTTTATTGATTTCTTACAGAGAGGAAGGGAGAGGGATAGAGAGTTAGAAACATCGATGAGAGAGAAACATCGATCAGCTGCCTCCTGCACATCTCCTACTGGGGATGTGCCCGCAACCCAGGTACATGCCCTTGACCGGAATCGAACCTGGGACCTTTCAGTCCGCAGGCCGACGCTCTATCCACTGAGCCAAACCGGTTTCGGCTGTTTTTTAGTCTTAAGACACCTTTACAGTATGGTGGTCACTGTACCTTCACTCCACCTTTACACAGGTGCACAGCCCCAAACCTTCCTTCACATTGTTCCCCCACACCCTTCCTCTGAGTTAACCATTGTCAGCAGCTGGGTGTGCATGTCTCCAATCATTTATATATATAAATACATATCAGAGGGAAGGCGAGGGAGGGCCAGTGGGGTGGGAAGAGATCAACCAAAGAACTTGTATGCATATATGCATAACCCATGGACACAGAAAATAGGGTGGGGAAAGCGTGGGGCGGGGATGGGCATGGGCTAGAAAAGGTCACTGGGGGAAAAAGGGAACATATGAAATACTTTCAACAATAAAGATTTTTTAAAAAATTAAATAAAAAATACATATTGGTTTAGAGTTTTACATACAGATGGGATCATAGTGAGTTAATACAAGTATGTCTGCCTCACTCTCTCAATGACTGTAATATGGAATATGCCATCAAATTTTTTTCTTTATTAATAGAGATTTAGGTGATTTTCACTTTCGCTATTACTGGCAGCTCTGCATGAAGATCCTTGCATGTGCATATTTGTGTGCATGTGTGTTTCACCAAAAGCAGGTATTTGAGGTGCAGGTTGATGCAGGCTGATGTGTTGTTGAGATTGTTAAAGCAAACCCTCGATAGGATCTATTTATCTGTAGAACCTCGCTGAAAATTACAAAGGCCAGCGAAACCTGAGTGCAAGTGTCTTCTTGGCTTCCAAACTGATTCTGATTCTGTGTCTCCTCAGCCCCTATTACATGCATGTTTTCTGTGAGAACAAGCAATATTAACAACTACTTACTACAGTAGTAAGCACAGAGAATCCAAAGGTGCATAGTTCAGGATGCTGCCCTCCAGGAGTTTAGTCCAATGGGAGACACAGAAGAGCTATATACACACCTACATATACTCCATTCCTAGCTCTGTGGCCAAATGCTATCAGATTCTGGAAGAGAGAAAGATTAGTTTTGCCTGTGTTTAGGGAAGAAATGGTATTTAAGCGTTCATGATGTAGAATTTCCCAAGGTCAAGAGCAGGTGGAACAAGGGGACTTGTTCAAAATGTAGCAGAACTGATGGTAAAGTGAAAAACAGGAAACAATGTCCATTAACAGACAATGAAACGAATCATATTTTCATAATAGCTTACATTATTGAACCAGAGCTCTATTAACTTAGGTATATCTGTAAAAACAAAAATTGGGGGGGGGGGGCAGCATTGTACAAGCAATTACAATGTGCTACCGAACAGGAGGCTGTGTAGCACCGTGATCTGGTGTGTGGCTAGAGACCCACTGCTGGGGTCCCATCCTGGCACCACCACTGCAAGCTGTGTGATCCTGGGTGAATGGTGCTACCTTTCAGTATCCTCACCTGCGAACTGGGGGTCATCATAGGATTTATAGATAGGGGTATAGTGAGGATTTAAGGAAGTAATACAAGTAAAACAGAACAGTGCCTGCCACTCAGTAAAAGTTAGCTATTTGTTGCATTGGTGTAAAATTTTTAAAGGAGTATAGTAGTTCGTTGAGTGAAACACATATATCAAAGGTTGAAAACATTGAGTAAAATGACAAACACCAAATTCAGTTCCTTGCGTGGGGTAGGGAGGGGAAGGAGATGAGGGAAGAAAAGGGAAGCCCTAGCTGGTTTGGCTCAGTGTTCGGCCTGTGCACTGGAGGGTCCCGGGTTTAATTCTGCAGGCTTGCTCCCCAGTCTGGGGCACACGGGAGGCAACCAATCAATGATTCTCTCTCATTGGTGTTTCTTTCTCTCCCTCTCCCTTCCTCTCCGAAATCAATAAAAATATATTTAAAAAATAATAAAGGGAAATGCTTAAGCTACATTTATAATAACTATTAAGTTGAGCAGTAACTACATACTTTTCTTAGTATTCCTGCAGACACCAAGGACCCTCCCTAATTCGTTTTGTGTGATTTGGGGATGGAGGTGCAGAGGATTCAGAAGGAAGGATCCTTGAGCCACCCAAACTGTCTGGCTCCTTCCCATCATTCAGATTTCGGTTCAAATAGTGGTTCTTCAGAGAAGCCTTCTTTGACGCCATTTTAAAACAGTACATCTCGCCGAAACCGGTTTGGCTCAGTGGATAGAGCGTCGGCTTGCGGACTGAAGGGTCCCGGGTTCGATTCCGGTCAAGGGCATGTGCCTGGGTTGTGGGCACATCCCCAGTAGGAAATGTGCAGGAGGCAGCTGATTGATGTTTCTCTCTCATCAATGTTTCTAACTCTCTATCCCTCTCCCTTCCTCTCTGTAAAAAATCAATAAAATATATTTAAAAAATAAAAAATAAAGCAGTACATCTCTATCCACTCTAACACACTGAACTATTATTTTATTGCAATGGGTTTACGACTCTGGGCTGTTTTAGTAGTACTTTACTGGTAATTGTCCATTTCTCCCCACTGGAATGCTCTGTCTTGTCAACACTATATTTCCAAAGCCATTTTAAGTTCTCAATTATTTTTTTGTTTTGGGATGGATGGCTGAATGAATGAATGGAGACCCTTCGTCCATCTTCAGGACTCCTCTTGAAAATTTTTTTTAAAATTGATTTCAGAGAGGAAGGGAGAGGGAGAGATAGAAACATCCATGATGAGAATCATTATTAGGCTGCCTCCTGCACGCCCCCTACTGGGGATTGAGCCAGTAACCCAGGCATGTGCCCTTGACTGGAATGGAACCTGTGGTCCCTCAGTCCGCAGGCCGACGCTCTAACCACTGAGCAAGCCAGCCAGGGCGGGACTTCTCTTTTTAGCGGAGTGCAGAGGTCGAATGAGGAAAGCCCGAGGGAAGTGGGTTGAGGAGAAGGCGGATGAAAATCTGCATTAGATAAACGGTGGGAAGCTGCGAGGCTTCTGAGTGTGAAGAACCGAGGGCTGAAGGTGAATGGAGGCGCTGGGAGGAAGTCCGGACGAGTGGGGCGGGGACGCGGCCTGCGGCGATGGGGCGGGGTCTGGAGGAGGGGCGGAGCCTCAACCAGCGGGTGGGGCCAATGGGTAGGCGGGCCCTGGAGGAGGGGGCGGAGCCTGCGAGCGGGGCGTTGGGAGCAGCGCGCTGCGGCGGCGGCGGCGGCGGAAGATGGCTGCGGATGGGGCGGCGGACACTCAGCTGATGCTCGGAGTCGGGCTGATCGGTGAGCACGCAGGCGCCCTGCCCCCAGGCCCGCACCCCAGTTCCGCCTCCGCCTGGGCCTGGGTGGCTCCTCCCCCCGCCCCCTCCGGTGGGGAGGGCGCGACCCCCTCCACGTTGGGCCTGGGCAGGGGGCGGCGCGGCCCGGCCTCCTCGGCGCTGGGGTTGACCCGCGGCCGTGGGCCCTTCCGCCCTTGGTGCCCTCCCGGTTCGGGCGGCGGGGCGGAGCGACCCTTCGGGCCTCCTAGGTTCTGGGAGGGGAGCTCTTGGACGTTCCGGACCGCAGACGAGCCCGGCCGTGGAAGGTGACCGAGCTCCCTCGGCTGCGAGGGGGCCGCTGTGCAGGCGGGACTCCGGCTGGACCGAGAGCCGCTCTCAGGCGGGGAGGCGGCGGGGCCGGGGTCCCTCGGGGGTGGGGACGCCTGGCGTGACTGCCCGCCCGGCGCCCGGCTGGCCTGGATCATGTGATCCAGCGATTGGAGACGCGGTGGCCGCCTACCAGCTCCGGGTGCAGCGTTCTATGCCTGGATTATCTCCGTTTTACTCACTTCGGCTCCCGGGGGCTGTGGGTAACGTTTGATGCACACTTTCCGGGGCAGTAGCTCGAGGCCAGGTGCCCACCGACGCACGTTAGAAAGTGGCGGAACCGGGGTTAGGACACTTGCAGTCTTGTCCCAGAGCCCCAATTTGAGCCCGTGGGGGACCCCGGCATCGTCTCAGACACAGCTGGTGCACGCAGCACGGGTGTCGACTTAATCACATGGGTGGGACCCGTTGGTGTTGGGGAATTAATGGATGAGGAAGTACGTTGGGATCTTCGAGCAGCCCGGGATGTGTGCCGGGCGCGGGGGGAGGTGGGGGGGGGGGCGTGCCGAGTGCCAGGGTTGGGCGGTTCAAGGAACCATTCATTTGATAGGCGATGGCGAGCACGGGGTTGCTGGAATGAACGTCGGTCGGTTCCCTACGTGCCATGTCCTTTGAAAAAGTATTCTATTGAGATTTTTATAAACCCCTTGAGCGGTTTACAAACCCCTTTGGGGGGGGGGGGTCGAACGACCCTTTCACAGAGGTCGCCTAAGACCATCGGAAAACACATATATAATTACATATTGTTTTTGTGATGAATCACTATGCTTTAATTATGTCCAATTTGTAACAATGAAAATACATCCTGCATGTCAGATATTTACATGACGATTCATAATAGTAGCAACATTACAGTTATGAAGTAGCAACGAAAATAATTTTATGGTCAGGGGGTCACCACAACATGAGGAACTGTGTTAAAGGGTCGCGGCATTAGGAAGGTTGAGAACCACTGCCCTAGACGCTGTTTCCCTGGTGTATACAAGAACGTTGCTTGGGTTGAGAAAAATGGGCAAAATGTGCTGATTACTTTTCAGTGCCTCAAAGAAGTGCATTTATCTGGAAATAGCTTCCTGTATTCATGCCTTTTTAAAAAAATTAAATCATTTTTTATTTTTAATTAATTGCAGTTGACATACAATATTATATTAGTCTAAGTGTACACCCCAGTGATTAGACATTTTGTAACTGACTAAGCGATCATCCCGATGCATCGCATACCCATCTGAACATTTCTTAAATGTGGTTTTAAAACTGTTTCAAAGCAAAACCTAAGTAACTTAGTCCTGCCCGAAGTCCTTCTGAATTAAGGCTGAGTTAAACTCTGACTTTATTTGCTAACAGTGAAGGAAAAGATGGCTTAATCATTTTCACTTCAGCAGGCTTTTTATTTTTCGTGTTGACTTGAAGAATAAAGGGGCTTGCTTCAAAATAATGGAAGGGGAAACGCTCCTCCCCCTTATGAGACAAGGAGGGCCAGATGTTGGTAATTGTTGAAGCCGAGTGATGAGTGATGGAGATGGGGGAATTTTATTATTCTCTCTGCTTTTTTATATACTTGATATTTTCCATAATAAGTATTTTTTAAGTCTGTAGATCAAAATCTAGATTCTTAGTGCTATATTTGCAGTAACTTTTGAAAATTTAGACTGTTTTTGCTTGGAATTTTTTATTAGTAGTAGATTGCTCCTCTTTTGTTATTGAGGTGTTTACTTTGCTGATGAAATTAAAGTTTTAAATATAGAACTTGCACAATCAATATGTAAGATGATTTACTCGAGTAGCCTAAAATTCAAGGTCAGGAGAGCTAGGTAATTTGAGCAGTAGAGGTAGGTGGGAATTAGGGGTCTCACCAGTTCCGGGGTGCTTTGTAAAATAGGATGTTAAAAGTGATTCCACTAAGTGCTTCTGAGTAACCAATCAATTCACTTCCTTGCTGCTGTTTGACATTCTCACAGTGACCATCTTTCCACCGTAGAAAAGGACACAAATGGAGAAGTTCTGTGGGTGTGGTGTTATCCTTCCACGACAGCTACGTTACGGAATCTGCTGCTGAGGAAATGCTGCCTTACAGAGGAAAACAGACTCCTCCATCCCTTCGTCTTCGGTCAGTACAGAAGAACATGGTTTTATATCACAACAGTTGAAGTTCCAGATTCTTCAGTTTTGAAAAAGGTATGACTGCGTAAAGGTAAAAAAACAAAACAAAAATATTTAAAGTGATGTAAGATTATTCCAGTAACTCTTTTTAGCTTTAGGTTTTATTCACAGTATGCTTTTGCAAAACATTAAATATGATTTTCTTTTTTTTGTAATGTATTTTTGTTGATTTCAGAGAAGAAGGGAAAGGGAGAGAGAGAGAGAGAGAGAAAGAGAGAGAGAAACATCAGTGATGAGAGGGAATCATTGATTGGCTGCCTCCTGCACGCCCCCTCTAGGGGATCTAGCCTGCATCCTGGGCATGTGCCATTGGCCAGAATCAAACCTGGGACCCTTCAGGCTGCAGGCTGATGCTCTATCCACTGAGCCAAACCGGCTAGGGCTACATATGATTTTCTTTGGGAGTGTTCTCTTTCATGTTTCACACTCATTCATCCTATAAATATTTGTTGGTGTATATTATGTGACTGACCCTGTGGTTGGTGTGGTGAAGCCTTGTTCGGGTTATACTCTGATGGAATAGAAATATGTAGAACAGCGGTTCTCAACCTATGGGTCGCAACCCCTTTGACGGTCGAACAACCCTTTCACAGGGATCGCCTAAGACCATCCTGCATATCAGATATTTACATTACAATTCATAACAGTAGCAACATGACAGTTATGAAGTAGAAACAAAGATAATTTTATGGTTGGGTCACAACATGAGGAACTGTATTTAAAGGGCCAGAAGGTTGAGAACCATTGATGTAGAAGTACTTTCAAAGTAATGCCTGATTAGAAGTGTTTTTTTTCCATCATTAAAAACTATTTTAGAGGATATAATTATCCTTGCCATAAAGAAAATTTTTTTTTTTTATTTGTTTGTGGCTGGTTAAGGCTATATTAAAAATAGAAAGGATAATTAAGGAAACTCAAGTATTCAGTAGGTTTTTTGTTGTGTCATTCGACATGGACAGGATCAGTGTGACATGTTGAAAACCACTATGTGGTCCCCGTGAGCGTCCAAACAAGCAGCAGGTTTTTTTCAAAGAAAATAATATTGGGGGGAAGTGGCTGAGCTCCTGGCATGCTCCTGATGGAGACTTATCTTTTCAGGGATAATTTTACAGCCAATAACCAGATGTATGGAGCATGTCCAAGATACCAGTTTAAATTTAAGGAATTACATTTAGAATAACAGGAAGGCAACAATTTCGAAACTGGTAGAGGTTTAAGACAAAAAAGAAATTCATAATTAGACAATGTAAATTTGCAAAAAAATAGTTTTCCACATGTTATAAAATCTTTGGTTTATGTTTATTAAGTTCTTGCTGTAAAGTCTTGATGTATTCTCAGGTAGACTTACTAAGTTTTACCCTGCAGACTGTCAAATTATAACAACAGCGATTTCAAATTTATTTTTCAGATTTGAAATTTAGCAAGATTTTGAAATTTTACCCTTCAAAATATGATTTTTAAAATGTATTTGTTAAATGCTTTGCTTTTGTAAAATTCCAAATATTGTCTCTCTAATGAGAATAATAATAGGCATAATGATTATCAAAAATTTATATTTGTAATAATAGAGGTATATAAATAAATGAAGCATATTATAACAGTGCCCTTTAGATTATATAGCAACTTTTGGGAATTAACTATTTCTGGAACGGTATAATTTTTACTGTAAGCATTTTACTGCGATATATTTTTGTTGTTTCCCATCCTTCTATTTCATTAATGAAAAATAGTTGCTAAATTGGTAGGTCTGTTAATTTATTCCTAGTTCTGTTTTGATGATGTGAGGGGGTTTAAAATAAAAATTCACATTTTTGATATTTGAAATATTTTTGTTTTCAAAAAACACTGGCAAAATATTACAATCTCATGTAGGAAATGCAATATATATTCCGTGTAATTTTTTATATGTGTGGATATACATATAAGAGTATAAAGAAGCAGTGAAGACTTGGTCACATTTTGGTCTTTTCCTTTTTATGCTGGTATATCTTGTAAAAGGGGTTTGTTAAAATGTAGTGATAAAAATTAATTCTATTAAAGTGTCTTTAAAAAGTGTACTTTTTTTGTTTCTTTTGGACAGGTGACTCATTTTTCTATTGTTCTGACCGCCAAAGATTTTAACCCAGAGAAATATGCCGCCTTCACTAGGATATTGTGTAGGTCTGTATGAAAACTGTGTTAAATACTAATATACAAAAATGAAGATCTTAGTATCACAGAGCAGATTTCTACACCGAGGAAGTCAATTTCCCCTTTGGCTCCCCAACTGAATCTTTACTGGCCCTTTGAAGACTGTTTCATAAAGAGGAACTTGCTTTTTGGCTTCAATGGCACTGCTCCTCTTATTTGGGAAAATGGTCGAGGGGAGGAGAAAAAGTAGTTTGCACAACTGTTGTGGTGCCTGGGTGTTTTGAGTCACTTGCCATTTTTGGTCTGTTACTTCTACTCATTTCCAATCTAGAATTTTTCTAAACAGGACAGATAAATTAAGTGCTTTATGAAGTGGCAGGCTGCTTTGTACGTGGCAAGGTCTGTGTGGGAATCATTTTGGGGAAAGTTAATAATTCAAAAGTTAGCATTTTGAATTATGCTAAAGCACAGGAAAACATTTCTTAGCTGGAATAATGAGCTGAAAAACTGATTAATTGGTTAATTGTGATTCAAGTAGACTTCTTTAGTTTCATCCTAGTTGTTGAAAAAATTTATCTAAAATGCATCAATTTACTTTCTTGCCTTGGTAAGTATATCTAGCAGACTTTATTAAATCTTTCTTGTGTGTGAGGAATATTGGCTTTTTTCTGTAATGAAAACTTTTACAGGGTTTTAGCTTGGTTTTTTAAAAATATTGTTGACACTAGATAGACTTAGAAGTCTCGATGTTCTGTATTACTCAGCCCTCAAGCTCACACCCAGGGAATAGTTTGTGTTTGGGGTGAATGAGGGGAGTTTTGTTTCTCCCACTAAAAGCCTGATAAATGGTTTCCTTTTTGCCATTTTTATGTGCACACACACAACATAGCATAAGAATACCTTCTCATAACCTAAGGGTTTCAGTTAGGTTGTATTTTGACAAAATGAAGTTTTACTGTTTTTGCAGCCAGCTATGCTGAGAAAGACTTCTTGTCCTAAGATAAATTCCAGGTGTATGGCTCACTGTGGAATATCAACAGTTGTCTGCTAATATGGTACAAAAAGAAATTATTATTGTTAGGAGAGACACTGTCCAGCAGCTGTGAACTAAAAACATTGTAAAGGTGTTTTTGAACAAACATTAGACTCCCATTTCATTTGATTGAGTCAGGGTTAGGTTACTTCACTGAATTCCAGGAAGCCCAGGGGGTTTCTCAGCTTCGGTGGTGCCATGGCATTGTCCCATTCTGGGTTCTCTCCTGCTCCTGTGCAAGGAAAGGAGGACTCAGAGCTATTGCCCGCCCCCTCCTCTGCTCCTGCCCCTTAGTGAACTCTCCTGCTTACCTTACATGTGTACACACCAGTGTACTCAGGTGCATGCATGCACACACACTCTCTCCCCATGAATGCATATGTCTGCATTCACATGCACAGAGACAAACACTTTTAAAATACATTTTTTAATTTTTCAGTTACTGTTGACATGCAGTATATTAGTTTAGATGTGTACCATAGTAATTAGGCATGTTTTTATAATGGTGAAATTACCATGGACATGCTCCCGTGCCTGGTGAGAGAAGCAGGCAGGCATTCCTTCCACAGCATGCTGCTGAGGTGGCGGTAGAGGCCCACATGGGGGTTCGGGGTTCATTCCCTCTATGGGATCCAGGTCAGTTGGCATGAACCTCTTCCTCTTCTGGTCCCTCCAGCTAATGGCTCTGGTAGAGAACCAGGCCTACTTACAGTCCGTTGTCTAAGCCAAGTATGACAGCTTGTGGCGCTCCATCGGAATATGGCCCCCTGGGCTGTGCTTTGTGTTTTTCCTATGAAATGGTTTTGGTGGAATTCCTTCCTCTGTTTAGTCTCATGGCCCAGGGTTGTCAGTGGGAAGTCATCTTATCCTACCTTTTTTATGTTTCTCTTTCCTGACTGTCTCCTGTTTCTATTTTATAATTGTAATGGTATGGTTTTGGTTTTTGTGTGTTTGGGGTGGTGATATAAGCACAGAGTTAAAAAACCAACTGTGCCGGAGGGTATATGGCAAAAACTAAGTCCCTTCTCCGTTCCCAGCCTCCAGTGCTACCTCCCGACCCCCACCCCCGAGGCAGCTCCTGGCCTGTTTTGTTTCTATCCAACTGGAGACACTGTCTCCGTGTGTAAGCATGTGGCTGACTTCATGGCTTGACTACATTTTACATATATGATAGCTTGCCATCGTCATTGTTCTGTACCTTTTTTTCTCATTTTGTACATTGAAAAAAATAGAAAAACACTGGTGACTGACACAATTTGGTAAACAGTTAAAACTCTTTTTCATTATCTTAATGAAACGTAATCTACAATAAGTATCATTTTCAAGTGATCTAACTTAAACATTGGTTTTATTTTCCTCCCAGTTTTCTATCACAGCTGCTAAAAGGCCCAAGTAGACCCAGCCCTGCTTTCCAAGCAAAATTTAGATTTCGTTACTCATCGGAAGAGATTTCCGGGGGAGGGATTGATTTCACATGCAAGCTATAAACGGAGCTAGTTTCCTGTCAGCATTTTCTGGAAGATTTAACTTGATGAATGTATCTAGTGTGCATTTATCACCAAAAACTTAAAGGAGTTTGCTTTCTTAATGATCTAAATATAGTTATCTCTGGGACTCTGATATTAAATACAGGTTTCACAACTAATTACTGCTTTCTCTGTGATCACTGCATAAACCACCTTTCTTGTCAAAGGAAATTCAAGCAATAAAACAGTTGTTATGGCTAAGAACACCAGCTGTGAATGAATGTAAGACAGAGAAAGAGATAAGTGTACAATGTTCCTGAGAAGAAGGAGGCCCCAGGAGGCCATGGTTCATTCTCCTGCCCTAGTGGACTGTAGCAGGCTTCCCCACATAGAAAGCGGGAGCAGCTGCAGAGAACTGTCCAAGGTGTCTCAGGTGGTGCTTTTTTATAAACACATCTTCAAATTAAATTTTAGAATTATCACTTGCCAGGAAAAGATTGGGCATTCAGAGTGTATAAGCAAGTAGGCTTCAACTCTTTAGAAAGTGCCCACGCCTAGTCTTGATGCATTGCTCCATGTGGATCGTGTGAAATAAAAGCATGATGGCTCTTTGTCCTTTCTTCCAGAATGTACCTGAAACACGGGAGCCCAGTTAAAATGATGGAGAGTTATATTGCCGTTCTCACCAAGGGGATATGCCAGAGTGAAGAAAACGGCTCTTTCCTTAGCAAGGACTTCGATGTCCGAAAGGCATACCTCGCAGGCTCCATCAAAGGTAAAAAGAAAACAAGAAGAAAAACCCATCCCAGATTAATTCATCCCGACGACAACAAAACCCCAAGCCCAGGACAGTCATTCAGTAGCTCTGTTTTCCATCTTTCCACATAGATTGTCTACAGAACATTTATGTTCTCTACAGGACAGGACTTCAGCTTCTCCATTTCCTAATTTGATTAGAATTGTCACAGGAAAGCAGACTTTTGTGGTGTTCCTTTCCAAAAGATTCTGACTTTTACTGTTTTGCTTGAATTTGTTTTTTAATGTATATATATTTTTTATTTTTAGAGAGAGAGGAAGGAAGAGAGAGAGAAACATCTATGTGAGGGCAAAACATCAGTCGGCTGCCTCCTGCATGCCCCCTACTGGGGATCAAGCCTGTGACCCTTCCGTACATGGGACAACACTCAATCGAGAGCCACTCTGGCCAGGCCAAGATTCTGACTTTTTTTTAAAATATGGAACACTTCTGCCCTAACCGGTTTGGCTCAGTGGATAGAGCATCGGCCTGCGGACTGAAAGGTCCCAGGTTCGATTCTGGTCAAGGGCATGTACCTTGAATGCAGGCACATCTCCAGTAGGAGGTGTGCAGGAGGCTACTGATCGATATTTCTCTCTCATTGATTGATGTTTCTAACTCTCTATCCCTGTCCCTTCCTCTCTGTAAAAAATCAATGAAATATATTTAAAAAATAAAATAAAATATGGAACGCTTCATGAATTTGCATGTCCTTGTGCAAGGGCCATGCTAATCTTCTCGGTATCGTTCCAATTTTAGTATATGTGCTGCCGAAGCGAGCACAGATTCTGACTTTAAAAATAGAATGTTCTTTCACCAGTAAGCTGCATTCCAGGGCTCCACTGACTTCCATAGTGCTCTTCCCTTAAATCAGAGCAGTTACCTCTTCCATCTGGACGCTCAGGCCTGGACCCAGGCTTCTCGCCCAGCTCCCTGCCTTTTTCTCCTACCTGGAACATCCAAAATGGCAGGGACAGTCCAGGACTAAAGCCACAGACTTCGGGGCTCTTAAGAAAGGGAGGAGAGGAGAACTCAGGGGCCACGCCAGCCTTTCCTCTCGTCCCCCCACAGCGCCTGCCTGTCTTCACTGCTAATGCCACTGTTCTGTATGGTTTCTAAGCATCCCTGTGGAGGTGCCAGGTGTCACCCAGCTATCTCAAAGGACTTAAGTAATGATGTGAGTGGGTGGGAGGGGCCGGTCAGTGAATATTTTTTAAAACTTGAGTTTTGCCCTGACTGGTTGCTCAGTGGTTAGAGCGTCAGCCCTGGAACCAAAGGGTCGATGGTTCAATTGCATGTCAAGGGCACATACTGGGGTTGTGGGTTTGCTTCCCACCCCCACCCAGTCAGGGAGCATATGTGGGATGCAACAAATTGATGTGTCTCTCACACATTGCTGTTTCTCTCCCTTTCCCTCTTAGTCCCTTCCACTCTCTCTCTGTAAAGCAATGGAATAAATGTCCTTGGGTGAGGATTGACACAAACAAAAAAAGGAGTTTTGATGACAGTGCTGGTTCCCTTTGTACCATTACTCCACTTTCTTGTGAGTGTGGCTTTATGTGTGTGTCCAGCATAGAGTCCCTGGGGGGACAGGTGTAGGCAGCTGTGACGCCCACCCTGGAGCAGATGTATGGATTGAAATGCCCATCCACCAGATTAGATACTTCTGTGCTTACAGCATTTATCGAAATTTATTCTCTGTGTTAAAAATAATTTTGAATTCATGTGATAAGAGTTCTTTCCAATCAAAACTTTATTTTCTTATATAATATTTAATGTAGTAATGCTATAATTTCTTTTGTTTTAAGACATTGTATCTCAGTTTGGAATGGAAACAGTTATCTTACACACAGCACTGATGCTAAAGAAAAGAATTGTTGTCTATCACCCAAAAATAGAAGTTGTCCAGGAGTTTACCAGGTATTCCCTCTAATCATTGAACAGTGTAATGTTGTTGGTGGGTAGTTTAGGACACTGTGTTACTGTATGCTCTGTTCTGTTGCACATTTGGTAAAAATAGAATATGTTGGCTGGGGGTTGAAGTACCGTTTTGGTCTAATGATCCAGTTTAGATTTATTTAGCAATTCAAGGTCACTGAATTTGGACAGATTCTTCTTTAATTTTAGAAATGTGAATATTTTAGAGCAGGGAGTTTTCAAAATTTTCTTTGCCAGAGGGGAAATATTTTAGGCTTGTAGGCCTTATGGTCTCTGCCCCAACTACTCAACTGTCATGGGTACCTCCATAAGTGAATGAGCATGGCTGTTTCAATAAAACTTTATGTGTAAAGACAGGAACTACCTGTGGGGTCATAGTTTCCTAACCCCTGTTTAGTAAGTTGTTTTTCTGTTCAGTTTTACCACACTCTTCTCTTATTTTTATAATAAACTAGTGGCCCGGTACACAGATTCATGTTTGACTGGAATTAAGTATGAAATGAGAGACTTCCAAAAAATTTTTTGCACCCTGGCCCAGGTGGCTCAGTTAGTTGAGCGATATCCCATGTACCAAAAAGTCACTGGTTCAACGCCCAGTCAAGGGCACATTCCCAGGTTGTGAGCTAGATCCCCAGTAGGGGGTGTGCAGGAGGCAGCTGATTGATGTTTCCTCTCACATTGATGTTTTTCTCTCCCTCCCTCCCTCCCCTATTCTTCCCTCTCTCTTAAATCGATAAAAACACCTATCTGTATAAAAGCCTAAGTTCTCCGATAGCTATGACGCACAGTGACCACCAGGGGCAGATGCTCCAACCAGTAGAGGAGGGAGCCCCATTCCTTGCTGAATTGGCCGTAGTTTAGGTTGCTGCTGGGGCACTGTCTGCCCTGAATCTGCTTCATTCACACCCCAGACCCATTGGGGGATGTCAGAGCCATGGTGCACAAATTTGTGCACCGGTGGGGTCCCTTGGCCTGGCCTGCACCCTCTCACAATCCAGGACCCCTCGTGGGATGTTAGAGAGCTGGTTTCAGCCCAAACCCTACAGACCGGGCTGAGGGACCCCACCAGTGCATGAATCTGTGCACCAGGCCTCTAGTATTTAATAAAAATAAGATTTAAATTTTTTTTTTTTTTTTTCCTGAAAGAGCCCTCTTTAGATTGTACCCTCAGATCTGAGACTCCCTCTCCATGGCAGTCTGCAGCATAGGATGTTTGGAGGAAAACCTTTGAAGCGTTTCTCTTTGCCAAGTTTCTTTTGAAACTCCACCTTGAGCTTTTTGTAGCTAAAAAGCAGAGTTTAAAACATTGCGTTACTTTCGTTTAAAGCCTGGAGCTGTTGGCCCATTTAGGGCTGGTTCTCCCCTCTGCCTCTAATACCCAGTTCCTCCCCCGAAGAAGAGGGAAGAGGGCAAGCTGAGTCTCTCAGGTGCAGGCCAGCAGCCATTTGCGTTCTCACTTTGATTCCCCAGAACCCTGCCTGCCCTGGTGTGGCATCGACAGGACTGGACCATACTTCACTCGTACGTGCACCTGGATGCTGATGAGCTGGAAGCCCTGCAGCTGTGCACAGGTAGGCCACAGGACCCAGAGCAGGGCTTGGCTTTAACTAGGATTTCTTGGTTCTTTGGGTTTTTGGGTTTTTGTGTGTGTGTGTGCATTCCTAAGAAGAGTACTGATCAGTTATTATTTCTTTGGCAAATGGAACCACCGCCCTGCCCCCCTTTAATTTAGAAAAAAGTTGGGTAAAATACATGTAACACAAAATTTCTCATCTTAATCTTGTTTGTTTGTTTTTTACTTTTTAAAAATCCTTACTTGAGGATATGTTTATTGATTCCAGAGAGAGGGAATGGGCAGGGGGTATGAGAGAGAAACATCATAGGAAAGGACATCGACCTGCTGCCTTCCACACACACCTCGACTGGGAATCCCAAAACCTTTCATGGTACGGGATGATGCTCAACGAACTGAACCACACTGACCAGGGCTCAATTTAATCAGTTTTAAGTGTGTAGTGCAGTGGCATTAAGTACATTCGCATTGTTATACAGCCATCATCAAAATATAACTTGTTTTTAATTTGTCAAGTCTTAAAGTTTCCTTGTCAGTGATTTGATTTAGAGTATAACATGAGCCTTGTTATATTTTTTCCTTAAAGAAAATAATAAAATTATTTTTAAGTGCTGTTATTATATTTGTATGCCCAGCTGGTGTGGCTCAGTTGGTTGACTATCGTCCTAGGCACCAAGAGGTCGTTGGTTCCATTCCCAGTCAGGGCACATGCCCAGGTTGATGGCTTGATACCCAGTAGGGAGCATGCAGGATGCAGCCAATTGATGTTGCTCTCTCCCTACCCTCTCTTTCGAACATCAATAAAACCATATTTTTAAAGAAATATGAAAAGTCTGGGAATTGTTATCTTCACACCAATTCCAAAGGTCTGCTAATTCTGGAGTTGCCCTGATTCCTTTAGCACTTACTGCATCAGTTCTGAAATTGGTGAAAGATGATGATGATACTGTTTCCACCCACTATCCCTGAGAAACCTGGGTGTTTGGCTATGATATCTTGAAGACGAGGACCTACAGGGGGAACGCTGATCAAAAGCATCCTTGCTACTTTCTGTCTCGTCTGTCATTTTTTCCCCAAAAGCATTCTCCTTTGTTGACACTGAAGTCTAGCTTTGGAACATTTTGAGTTATGTGAGTTTCTTCAGGCAACTGACAATAATGTAGTCTCAATAAATGCCACAGGGCACAGCTAACATGCCCTGAATAAGTAAAGCAGTGAAAAGAAGCAGCTGGTGAGCTTTTTAGACTCAATTCTCTTGATGTGTTCACAGTGTGATTTCTTTGTACTCCATCTCTAACACAGGTTACATCGCCGGATTTGTAGACTCGGAGGTGAGCAATAGAGCAGACCTGTATGACGTGTTTGTGAATCTGGCAGAGAGTGAGATTACCATTGCCCCACTTGCGAAAGGTTAGTTTTCTGTTCTGTTCTGTTGCTGGTACAAGATGTAAGCCAAGCAGTTGTATTTTTTTAGACTGATTCTCTAAAACCATATTTGAGAGCCTGCTTAGCTGTTGGAGGGATTTTTGTGTCTAGAACACAGCATTTATTCTTACAGGCCTAGCCATCTATCTTTCTATATAAAAGCCTGAGCGACCATTCAGCCGGTAGCTATGATGTGCACTGACCACCAGAGGGCAGATGCTCAACGCATAGGTATGAAAACATGGAACAGATTGATGAATCTCAGAGGGTAGGGGGGAGAGGGGAAGAGATTAACCGAAGATCTTATATGCATATTAGAGGCCCGGTGGACTGATTTGTGCACTGGTGGGGTCCCTCAGCCTGGCCTGCGGGGATTGGGCCGAAACCGGCAGTCCGACATCCCCTGAGGGGTCCCGGATTGGGAGAGGGCACAGGCCAGGCCAAGGGACCCGAGGGCCTCTAGTGTTAGTAATCCTCGATGCTTATGCTGCACAGTATATGTTAATAAGATAGTCTTCATCTGTTTCTCCACTTTATATTTAAACAAGGTATATTATCTATTGCTGTATAACAAATCCCTTCTAAACTTAGTGATTCAAAACAACAGATATTTATCTCACAGTTTTGGTGGGACGGGAACTCAGGACTGACTTAACTGGGAGGTTTTGGCGCAAGGGCTCTCATGAGTTTTCAATCAACATAGTGCCAGGGCTGCAGTTATCTAAAGGCTCAGCTGGGGCAAGAGGCTACACTTGCCAGCCAACACATGGCTGTTGGCAGGAGCCCTTGCACGTGGGCCTCTCCATAGGGCAGCTTGGGTGTTCTCATGACCTGACAGCTGGCTTCCCAAGAGAAGAGAGGAGACCACAGTGCCCTTATGACCTCGTCTCAGAAGTCACACATCACTTCCTCCATATTCTATTTGTCAGCAGCAAGCCATTAAGTCGAGTCCCACTAAGAGAGAGGAAACAGGCCGCACCTCCTGAAGGAAACATTATTAAAGAACGTGGGGACATTTGTCACTGCAAAAGGGTTGGCTGTGATCCTCTGGAAAATCTGTGCGAAGGATGTCCCAGTAAGCCAGGAAATGAAAGGATTCCTGGAGCTACGATCAAGAAAGGGTGTTCTAGTGTCATCTCTGGAAGCGAAATTGTCCGAGATTATAGCTGCGTAAAATGGTAAAGGTTGAGTTAACTGTGCCTGTGCCCAGGCACTTCTGAAGTGCTGGTTATAGGTGGGAATTCCTGGGGCAGCTTTTCTGTTGTCATTTATGTATCTTTCTCCTGAAAGTAGGAATAGCTGAGTGCTGGCTGATGAGGGACTTTGTTAGAACCAGAACTACTTTCTTTCATTTGTTTTAAAATTGCAAACATAATGCATGCTCATGGTCAAAAATTTTAAATATAAAATCATCTTTAGGCAATACGACCTTCAAGCAAAAGTGATAGAAAACTAGCTGCGGCCGGGCCACTTAAATTGCTGACAGGGTGGCCATCTCCTTGCTGCCACATGTTGCTCTGAGTCTGTAAAATGGGCTCATCCTGGTCAGCACCATTCACGTTTGTCCCTTGGGGTGACAAGCAAATTTGTTTCTCTCCTTGCTGCAGAGTAGCGCTGCTTCTAAGTAATGCAGCGGAGGTGGTTTTCCCCGCCCCGTGCTGAGGGCCTTGCCACACTGAATGTTCAGGGCTCCCGCGGGACTGTCAGGAAGCGCTTTCACAATATTCCTGCCAGAAAGATAAACGTGAATTCCTAACTGTAAAGACCTGGACAGGAAAGTTAGGCTCTTGGCAACTTATGTGTAGTCAGAAGCTTTCATTAGGTGCTGTCTAGAGAAAAATAAAAACCTTTTTCAGGGCCAGCACCGGTTTGACTCAGAGGATAGAGTGTCAGCCTGCAGACTGAAAGGTCCCAGGTTCGATTCCGGTCAAGGGCATGTTACCTGGGTTGCGGGCACATCCCCAGTAGGAGATGTGCAGGAGGCAGCTGATCCATGTTTCTAACTGTCTATCCCTCTCCCTTCCTCTCTGTAAAAATCAATAATATATATATATTTTTTAAAAAAACCTTTATCAGGTAGGTATGAAGGAGAAATTTGGTTTAGTATTAGTGTGTTGTTGTTTTTTGTTGTGGACACAAAGTATATAAATCATGATTATGCCTTTTACCGCCCAGCATGTGTTTAGCAAGAAGAAGGAAATCGGGGGGAGGGGGGAGTTTGTCAGTTGCTTTTATTTTTTTTATAAGATTTTTATTTGAACCAAACTGACAACATATACCTGGGAGCAAGATCTCAAATAGCTCTGCGTCAGTTGCTTTTTGAAAATTCCCTGTTTGGCCGAAACCGGTTTGGCTCAGTGGATAGAGCATCGGCCTGGGGACTGAAGGGTCCTGGGTTCGATTCCGGTCAAGGGCATGTACCTGGGTTGCAGGCACATCCCCAGTGGGAGATGTGCAGGAGGCAGCTGATCGATGTTTCTCTCATCGATGTTTCTAACTCTCTATCTCTCTCCCTTCCTCTCTGTGAAGAATCAATAAAATATATTTAAAAAAAAAAAGAAAATTCCCTGTTTGATCTTTCAGATTTTCAGATAGATGGCATGATTATTTATTATTTATTATTATTTTTTAAAAATATTTTTATTGATTTCAGAGAGGAAGGGAGAGGGAGAGATAGAAACATCAATGATGAGAAAGAATCATTGATTGGCTGCCTCCTGCACGCCCCCTTCTGGGGATCAAGCTGCAAGCCAGGCATGTGCCCTTGACCAGAATCGAACCTGGGACCCTTCAGTCTGCAGGCCGATGCTCTATCCACTGAGCCAAACCAGCTAGGGCTATCTTATTGATTTTTTACAGAGAGGAAGGGAGAGGGATAGAGAGTTAGAAACATGGATGAGAGAGAAACATCAATAAGCTGCCTCCTGCACACCCCCTACTGGGGATATGCTTGCAACCAAGGTACATGCCCTTGACCGGAATCAAACCTGGAACCCTTCAGTCCACAGGTCGATGCTCTATCCACTGAGCCAAACCGTTTAGGGCTATTATTATTATTCTTAATCCTCACTCGTGGATACTTTTCCACTGATTTTTAGAGAAAGTGGAAGAGAGAAAGTCAGAAACATCGATGTGAGAGAAACACATCGATTGGTTGCCTCCTGCATTTATCCTGACCAGGGGCCGGGCCGGGGAGGAGCCTGCAACCAAAGTACATGCCCTTGACTGGAATCGAACCCGAGACCCCTTGGTTTGTAGTCCGACACTCTATCCATTGAGCCAAACCGGTCAGGGCTGTTTTTTATTATTTAAACTTCTAAATATTCACACAACATATTCTTAATCTCACCAGAGGCCATGACAATGGGCAAACTGCACAAAGAGATTGGTCACCTAATTGTTCAGTCTGCAGAAGATCCAGAGAAATCGGACAGCCAAGTTATACAGGTAACTCCTTACCCCGACGACTTACTCCGTTCCCGACCCATGTTGCTGGGTCGTGTCAGAGCTGCCCCTTACCTGCTGTGCACGTGACAGAGGGAAGTGACTGGGAGAGACCAGCGGGCAGATGCTCATGAAGGTTTGCAGATGGACCTGCTGGAATTGAACAGGCGGGGGCTGCCATAGCCAATCAGCTATCAGTCTCTGAGGATAAGATCTTTATGGGGGGGAGGAGCTGGGCTGGTGCTGAAGCTAAGCATTATGGTGAGAAATATAACTTCTAAGTGGTCTGGAATGATGTTCTGGACTGGCCGGTGCATTCTCTCCTCCTAGCAGAATTTTCATGGAGAAACTAATTGTAAAGAGAAGGTTGCTGCTGAGCATGGGGAACCAGATAGAGTGTCTTAATCCAGCTTTGATGTGACGTCTCCAGGACAGTGAAAATGCAGACCCTGCCAAGCTCAGCAGACTGGTGTCGCATGCCGCAGGGCTGGCTCCTCTGTGCTCTGCTTGGCAGCTGGCGACAGTGCCATGTGGACCCTCTCCTCTCCCCTTGCCAGATTGGGATGGCAAATGGTTTTTGGTTTTTACTTTTTAATTGATTTTAGAGAGAGGGGGTAAGGGAGAGGGAGGGAGATTGATTTGTTGTTCCACTTATTTAGGCATTCATTGGTTGATTCTTGTTTTGTCCTGACCGGGGAATCGAACCCGCAACTTTGTTGTATCGGGACGATGCTCTAACCAACAACTACCCGGCCAGGGTCAAATGGTTTATTTACGCCTCTCCATGTGGTGTAAGCCCCTCCTCTGCACGCAGCTCGGCGGCCTCTGCCCCTCTGTCTGCTGCCAGTGTGCATTGTGTCCCTTTCCAGCAACCTGCTCCTCTTCTGCAGAATACACTTGAGCCTCGCCTCTCCCAGGCCCTGCCTCATCTAGACCCGTCTCTGACGCTGGGGGCCGGGGGCCTGGAAAGATGGTCTCCTCGTCTGACCCCTACCTCGGGGCCTCATCTGCTGTGAAGGCCCTCCTCTTCTTGTTGCGCCTAGCTCTTTTCTCCATTCATTTCCTTACGTGATATTTATTGAGCAGCGACTGTATGTCAGGCATTGCACAGGGCAGTGCAGGGCAGTGGCGAGCAAAGTGCCTGCCCTTGTGGCCTGTATTTTAGTGTAGGTGAAGAGAAAATAATATAAGAAGATCATTGTGAGCTTCGATAAATGAATGCTGTGACAGAAACAAGGGGCTGAGGTATAACAGATAAGGGATCAATCAGATGGCTCTCGGAGAAAGTGACGTGAGCTAGAGAGTGCTGAAGGGCGAGGGGGCCCACAGGTTTTGCCAGGGACCCGTCAGCAGCGCTGTTCTTTATGTTCAGTGCTGGTGGGCCGTCCAGCTGGACAGGAAGAGTGCGTGGGTTTTGTCCCGAGGAGCTGCCCATCCATCCCTCTGTCAGTATTACAGTAAAAATATTGACTCTACATTGCAGAGTTGGTGAAATGTGTAAATTTGAATTTTGAATTAGTGTTTTTCAGTGGACTAAAAGTGATACAAGATTACTCAGTATAATGTATAATGAATGTGTCCGGCATGTTGTAGGGATACACACACACACACACACACTCTAGAGGCCTGGTGCACGGGTAGGGTCTCTAGGCCTGGCCAGCGATCAGGGCCGATCTGTGGGGTGACTGGTGGGGCGATCCACCTTGGCTGGCCTGGCGCCACCTGCTTGCTGGCCCCACCCCCCTGCCACCACCCGCTTGCCAGCCAGCCCCACCACTGGTTGCTTCCCTCTGCAGGGCGACCAGCAGAGTAATCGGGCGGGGTTGGGGGGGGTGCTTACTGGCACCTTCCTTGGCTGGCCTGGCGCCTGCGGGCTGGGGGCAGCTCCTGCTTTGAGTGTCTGCCCCAGATGGTCAGTGCGCATCATAGTAACCGATCGTTCCACCAGTCGTTCCGCTGTTTGGTCGATTTGCATATTAGGCTTTTATTATATAGGATATATTTTAATCCTCCCCTGAGGATATGTTTTTACTGAATTTTTAAAGAGAGAGAAAGAAAGGGAGGGAGGGAGAGAGAAACATGGATCAACCAGGGATTCCACCTACAACCTGGGTCTGTGCTCTGACCAGGAATCTAACCCGAGACCTTTCAGTGTGCAGGACAACGTTCCAACCAAGCGAGCCACACCAGCCAGGGCCGAAAATACTGGAAAGGTTAATGATGTCAGCAGACCAAGAAAAGGACATGACTTTGATGTGAGCTCTGGGGAGGCCTCAGCCCTCCAAAGGAATGTGAGTCGGTGAAGAGGAATAAAGCCCAGGTGGCAGGCGCTGGCTTTCTTATCCCAGGCAGGAGATCTGTTCTAGAAACGATAGCAGGCTTCCGCCAAAAGCTAACCATAGCATTACCATACATCCGGCAGTTCATTTCTGGGTGTTTATCAAGAATTGAAACAGGGACTCAGATACTTGTACACCCATGTTCATAGCAGCACTGCTAACAGCCAAAAAAGGTGAAAATAGCCGGATGTACATCAATGGATGAACGGACAAACACAGTGTGGTGTATAGGAACCGCAGAATATTATTAAAAGGCATGAAGTTCCACATGGGTGAACCTTGGAAACATTATTCTAAGTGAAATAGCCAGACGCCAAAGGACATATATTGTATGATCCCACTTCTGTCAAGTACCCAAATAGGCAAATTCAGAGGCAGAAAAATTATCCGTGATACTGATTTTTCTGTTAACCTAACTTTGTTTCACTTTTTCTAATTTATAAAGTTAATTTGATATACTTTTTAAAATAGCAGGAAGAATTCCGTTAAAATGCAACAAACTACTCATTTTTCAGTGCTAACGTATTGCATATTTTCCTGTTTTTATTAAAGGACATTTCCCTAAAAACAAAAGAAATCTTCACCAACTTGGCACCCTTTTCAGAAGTTTCGGGCGATGGAGGAAAGCGTGTCCTCAATCTTGAGGCTCTAAAGCAAAGACGATTCCCACCAGCGACAGAAAACTTTCTGTACCACCTAGCAGCAGCCGAGCAAATGCTGAAAATCTGACTGTCAGGATGGTATCACTGAGGACACGATCACCCACTAACTATGTGTAATACTGAAAATAACAAAGAAAATGGTATATTTTAATGATTTATTTGAAAGTATTGAGATTTGACCTGAAAAGCACTGAAACATAGCAAAACACTTGATTTTCTCTATCTGATTAGTTTCACACCTGTCATCATGTTGGACAAAGTGCTGTAACTACCGTAAATAAGTTATAACATGGCCTGATGGGCTGGAGTGAGAAAAAAGCTCTGTCGAGTTCTTGTGTAAGTCACAGCAGATCCGAAAGCCTCCATGATTATAAGTTCCCGTTTGTCTCATTGTGTCGCCACAAACGAATGATTTATTTTCAGAAAGCTGCCTGAAATGTTGCTTTGTATTCTTCTAGGAAGAACTTTAATTCCTCACGAGGAACTGTACTTTCTGAGCCAAACTACTAAGTTTTCTGCAGGACTGTCTAGAACAGCGGTTCTCAACCTGTGGGTCGCGACCCCTTTGGCGGTCTAACGGACCCTTTCACAGGGGTCGCCTAAGACCATCCCGCATATCAGATACTTACATTACGATTCATAACAGTAGCGACATTACAGTTATGAAGTAGCAACGAAAATAATTTTATGGTTGGGTCACCACATGAGGAACTGTATTTAAAGGGCCAGAAGGTTGAGAACCACTGCTCTAGAAGATCATTCAAAAGACCCTGCAGTTGCACTTTCTTGTAAAAGAAAAAAATTTTTTTCTTGGCCTTTGACCATTTTACCTATATTATGAGGGTTTTGCATAGATTTTATACTTGAGTAGACAACGTTAATAATTCGTATTTATACTGTCTCAGAGGTAAGCATTTGGCAAGCTGAAGCCATCAGTGCTCTTCAATTCACCTTGTTGCTAGCAATATTACTTTGAAAGATGCCAGTCCTTATATAGCAGAGAAAAACAAGCAGCCCATTTTGAATATTAATGTCTATAACTGAACTAGCAACTTTCATGATTGGTAAGGGAGTGTAAGAATTAACTGTCTGCAAGGGCAAAAACCAGAGGTCTTCAAGTAACTCCAGTAAAAAGTGACTTGGCCACATAAGAAGTTCTTGTTCCTGTTCAGCTGTGTACCTTTCTCATCATAGGAGACCTAAAAATTGCAAAATAAGCAGGGAGGTCTAAGTTATGTACTTGTTATTTTATTGTATGTATTCATATTAACTCTGAAAGGTTATTTTACAGTCAGTCCTGTTGTCCTTGGAAATCTTACCCAGAAAAAATGTCTGCAAAAAATCTTGTCTTTATCGGATCTTTCATTTGTTAAGTAAAAAGTTTAAAATAGCCCTTTCTTTTCCTTTTAGGGTAAGGGTGGACCTGAAATGAGGTTTTGTTTACTAAGGCAAACAATTTAAAATTAATTCTGCACTTTATGAAAATGAATACTAACATCTTTTTCTCCCTCATTTTTGTATTACTGCATTAGCTAATCAAAGTTGTTAAAATTGCAAATGTATGATGCAGAAATAAAATGGAAATATTTTGATATTCAACCATATTTAGGTAGATGAAATATTGTGTCCTTTCTCTAATTCTCTCCACTCCAAAAAAAGCAAAACCTTCCAAGTGCAGGTATGCTGCGGGGGGGGGGGGGGGGGGGGGTGTTATTAAAAGACATCTTTGAAAGTGAAGGGGGTCCAGGCTCCTTTCCTCCCACCCGTACGTCCTCCATTGCCTGTTCCTAAAGCAACCAACTTCAAGGTGTCTCCTTGAAAAGATGCCCTCACCTTTCCACTCTCTTCTGTAGTGGGTAAGCCTTCATCTGGAGCCTTTGTACATTTTGTTCTTTTGTTTAGTCTAAACCTGGGGCTACACTGAGACATCTGGTAAATCAATTTGACTAATTTTATCCTTTTAGGCTGTTGTGAAACCCTTTTATCAAATTTGGAGATAAGCATCATTCTGGCCCAGGGAAAACTGAAAGCCAGATACATCCTTTGATGATTCGGGCAGGGTGTGTTGGAAACATTCCTCCAGGATGCAAATGTTCGGGTACCTACTTTGCACAGTGTACTGTGCACGCTAGGGCTCCCTTGATGCACAAGGCAGTTCTTGCTCTCAAGGGACAGTCTACAGGGGCACTGGGTCTGCACACAGGCCACTGCACTGTGGTGTGGCAAGTGTTAGACACAAGTGCTGGGAGCACAGGAGAGGCACCTGATTCAGCACTGGTAATCCTGGAAGGCTTCCTGGAGGGAGTGACTGAAGTCCAAGTCAGACCTGAAGCATAAGTAGGAGTTAATCCAGAGCAGAGGAAAGTAGGTGTGAAGGCCCAGAGCAGAGAGAACATGGCCTCTGAGGAGCTGGATGTTGCTTCGGAGTGAAGAAAGGGAGCGGCAAGAGATGAGTAAGGCAAAGGCTCTTCCTTGCCTGCATGGCAAGGAATTTGAACTTGATCCTGAAGCGCCGAGAACCCATTGAAGGCTATTAAGCAGGTGTGCTGTCGAAGAGCCAGGGGGAGCCTGGACGCCTGGACCGGGAGCCAGGCAGAAATAAGGCGAGTATTACCAGCAGGGGGTGCTGCTGGACTGAGCTGGCAGTAAGAGTGGCCACGGAGAGTTCTGGAGATGAATGGGAGAGCGGGGAGGGTGCAGTCAGGGTGACGCCAGTGATCCTGTCTGATGTGTTCCACTTCCTGAGATTGGGAGGCCTTAAGTGGGCACCCAAAAGTGCAGGGGGCAGCTGGGTGTGAGCCTATGGCCCGGCACAATAAACAAGCCCACAGGCTGCTCGAGCAGCCAGCAGTGTCAGTGCAGTTTGGGGGGCATGGCTGACCGCAGTCTCAGCAGAGTAGAAGGAGGGGTGGGAACAGGGAGGGTAGACAATATTTGAAAAAGTGGCTACGAATGAGGGTTTTGCTTTTTCTTTTTTTTCCTCACCTGAGGATATGTCTTGATTTTAGAGAGAGAGGAAGGGAAAGAGAGAAACACTGATGTGAGAGAGAAACATTGATTGGCTGCCTCCTGACTGAGGACCCAACCCACAACTTCTTGGTGTTTGGGACGATGCCCCAACCAACTGACCCACCCGGCCGGGGCGGGGGTTTGTTTTTTTAATGAGACAGTGAGTCGGGCAGTTTCAATATTACTGGGAAGAAGCAGAGGGTGACTTTGCATGCAGGAGGGGAGGAGGGGTGCGGGTGGAGGAGGGCCTGTAGGTTTGGTGCCAGGGGTTCCATGGCTGCCAAGAGCCTTGCTTTTTCCTGCGAAGCAGGACACAGGGTTGCTTGCCAGTGAAGAAAAGGAAGGAGCTGGGTGGCGATGGTAGCTTTTAGGTAGCCGTCCAAATGGGAGTGGGCCGAGTGGGGAAACACGGTTGCTCTGGGGTTGGAGGCCTTCACCAGCTCACCCGAGGTTCACGTTTACCCTGAGATGAGCCATCCATGTAATGCCTGTGCCCTGGGCTCCATGGATCTTTCTTTTCTCCAATACTCAACTTCAGACCAGTTTATTAGTAACCTCACTGTGCCCGCTCACAGGCTGGCACACAGGAAAGGGGCCTTCCACCACCCAGCCCTCAGCAGTCCCGGTGGGGAGGCAGGTCAGACAGGACAGCTCCCCGCGTCTCTTCTCCCACCCAGGCTGGAAGCCCAGGCACGACCGGCCTCGATTAGGTCCTGGCATGTGTGGCTGGAAGCCATCCTGTCTGCAGACACCGCGGGGTTCCCAGGAGACCTCTGGCACAGTTCTCGGAACTGAAACTTCGAGAGGAAGGTTTCCAAGCAGGGATCAAACAAATGCACCCGGAACTCACCCCTACACCCCTCGGTTATAGAAGAGTTCTGTTTCTTCTGTTGCAGACTGAATTTCCTGTTCGAGTTTACTGCACTGTATCTGAAAAACAAAGTTAAATTCTTTATATTTATAGTAAGAACTTTTCTTACTTTAGAAGCCAAGTTATTTTTTTAAAGACATTTTCAGAAAGCATTTATTTCACAGTCCAACTTTTAGTCAATTAAGTCTAATTTAGAGCAAAAAAAGTAACCTCTTAAAAACATTCTTCTGGAAAATTTCATACATAAGCAAAGCAATAAGCCCTCATGTCCGCACCACTCAGCTCCAACCATTAACAATCTGCCAATCCCATGAGATTTGAAAGCTGCTGTAAGTGACGGAACCTGCTGATAAGCCATCCACTCTGCGCTGAGGGCCAATGCAATCAGAAGGAATTACTTGCAAAGGGTTCGCTTTTATTGCAATCTCATTGTAACAAACTGTTCTAAAAGGACTGTGAAGATTCGAAAGATTTTTCCTTCTGTTTTATCTATTTTAATGAGAAACTACTCCTCTCTATCCCTTGTCCCTCACCACCTCTGTAGGACCATAGCAACGATCTTAAATAATTTAAAACTTTGATGCTATGTGCTAGCAAAGTTGCCTGAATTAACGATTACATAAGCCTAAACTTAGAGAATTGGGTTGTGAATAAAAGCATTCCATAAATATACAGCGTGGGGCAAAAGGAGGTTGACAGGTGTTCGTATGGAAATAAAATGATAAATAGTAATGTAAGAATAAACTGTTTTATGTACTCAACTGTAACCCTACTTTTGTCCCACCCTGTAAATGCTATGAGGACACACCTGATTTTTTGTTGTTGTTAATCCTCACCTGAGGATATTTTCCCATTGATTCTTAGAGAGAGTGGCAGGGAGGGGGAGGGACAAAGAGAGAGAAGCATCAATTGGTTGCCTCCTGCCTGCACCAAACCAGAGACGGGGATTGAGCCTGCAACTGAGGTACATGCCCTTGACTGGAATTGAACCCAGGACCCTTCAGTCCGCGGGCCGATGCTCTGTCCACTGAGCCATGACTGACTTTTAACTTCAGCGACAGAAAACAAGCATTTGAGATTTTCAGCCAAGAAATGCCAGAAATCCCTAACATCTACTGGCATCAGCAATGTCCTTGGGACCAGGAGCAGAGATACTATTACAGCCATCTCTCCTTCACGGATGCAAAGACAGAGTCTCCCAGAGTTAAAGCAAATTGATCAAGGTCTGGAGCAGCTGGGAATTCGAGTCCAGGCAGGCCGACTCATCACCTAGTCTACAGACCTGCACAGCCCAATACCGTAGCCACCAGCCGCATGTGAGTCCTTATTAAAATTACAGTTTGGTTCCTCAGTCACACCGGCCGCATTTCACGTGCTCAACAGCCACATGTGATTGGTGGCTACCATACTGGACACCAACTTATAGGACATTTCTATCATTGCAGACTGTTCCACTGGAATGATAAAACATTTAAAATAGAGGTGGTGTTGTTTTTTTAACATCCCCTAAAAATGCTTCTGATATACTGTTAAGAAAAACAGAATCCAGCCTGGCCAGTGTGGTTCAGTGGTTGAGCATCGACCTATGAACCAGGGGGTCACGGTTGGATTCCCAGTCAGGGGGCACATGCCTGGTTGAGGCTCAATCCCCAGTGGGAGGTGTGCGGGAGGCAGCCCATCCATGATTCTCTCATCATTGATGTTTATCTCTCTCTCCCTCGCCCTTCCTCTCTGAAATCAATAAAAAATATATTAAAAAAAAGAAAAACAGAATCCAAAACTGCACAAGGGATCTGGGGGATGGGTTATATGTCAATAAAGTTATTTTCTTTTATACTTTTATAAACTTGGGCAGATTTTTTAGGAAAAGAATTGATTTAATTCCTTTTTGGGAGGAAGTCAAGTGGGGGCACTTACCCGTTGTATTTGCGGGAACATGCTGAAAGAAACTGGCACCATCAGGCCCATTACCAAGATGGTACAAGACAGCTTTAGGGTCCACAAGGACTGGGGGTATCGCACGAATAATGGGGTCCTGGGAGAGAGAAGGTTACAGGGCTTGTTTTAGAGGCTGGCCCTCTGCTCTGCTGGTGGCCAACTGTCTTGCTCACCAGTGTCAGGCCCAGGATGAAGGACTAGAGGTGCATTTGCTCATTTGATCGCTCCACAGCCCACATACACAAGAGAATATAGCCACTGTCAAGTCACTTGTCCAAAATCCCACAGCTCCAAAGTGAGAGGTCAGGCCCTAGAGCCTGTGCTCTCTGCCTGGGGTTCTGCTGACACGGATGTGACATTCTGGCCCTGACCTTTGAGAGTGTGAGACAATGTGGGAAGATGCAAAGAACCCCATCCTGGGAGTCAGTCAGAGCCAGGGGGTACTGGAGTCCGCTCGGGGCTCTGCTTCAGACAGACCGGGCACTCTCGGACAAGTCACTTTCCCCTTCTGCGCTCTGGGTTCATTCAGATGCAAAAAGGAAGGGTTGAGTCAGCCACCGAAGTCACTCTGCCATGGATACTATCATGGTTGTGGGATGACACAGGGTCCTCCTGGGCACCCCAAGGCCCACTGGGAAACGAGGACCATCTCTCCCCAGTAGACAGCCAGTGCCATTACATAGGCATCCAGGGCCCCAGCTTTCCCGGAGCCCAGCTCTGAGGCCAGCAGAGCGGTCCAGGAAGATCCTGACCGAGCAGAAGTCTCCACACCCATCCAGCTGGACTGATTGTGGGAAGTTGACAGTTCACGCTGCCCAGGACGCTGCTACTTCCTGAAAAGACGCTCCTTACATGCTCCTCGCAGGGGCTTCCTGGCTCCCCATGCTGGACAGAGTGGATTGGTTCAGCAACAGGCAGGTGACCCCACGTGGGCCAATGGAATCCTTCCCGGGGAGTTTGTGAACTGAGCAGAAGACATTCCCTGCCCCCACATCCCCCCTGGGGTTTGCTGTGATTTTCTTTCTCATCAGGACACTGAGGACACACCTAGGAGGTGTCGGCAGTCACATACCTCATCGACAGGGAGAAGCCAATGTGTGGCAGGGGAAGAAAGAGCTGTCCCCACACTAGAGCTGCTTCTGCTCAGCTGCCGTAGGCCCCACTCCCTGCCCGTGCCCCGTAACTAAACCCACACAGCTCCCTCTGGCCTGCGCTCCCGCAAGCTGGGCTTCTCAGACCCTCCTCCCAACAGGCCATTGCTTGCTTCTCGAATAGGGCGACAGGCTACTGAATCTGGGACCATTTACGCTAATTTAATCCATGCTTGGCATGAAGGAGGGGCAAGAGGCTTGGGCAGCATTCACAGCCCATCAGAGCTGGGAAAACCTGCAAATCATCGAAACCCATCGTGCTGGGAGAGAGGAAACGTGCCTCAGCAGATGCTGGGACGTGGCCCAGAACGCAGAGCTAACTGAGGACAGGGCCTGGGCCCGAGTCCAGGTCTGTTGGCATATGCACATCTGGATTCCAGGTCAATCCTCCTGTCCTAAGGGTGATGAAGAGTGTTCAGTAGGAAGACCACGGAAGCACGTTCCTCCCATCCCTCCCACCAGCTGCAGATTAGACACGTTTTATAAGGATTCTGACTGTCAAAATATTTACTCCTCCCGGGGGAGATGAGCATGCATCTTACTTTTTAAAAAAATGTGAGAAGACTTCAGGAATAAAAGCCGAGGTCCCGAACAGCACGACTCTGGATGTTGCGGTATCGCTGACAGCCTAGTGGAAAGCGAAAGGAAGCAGCTTAGGATGTGAAGGGAGACGATTTCTGTAATTCATGACAGAGACAAGCAAACAGCAGCTCTCCCCTCTCACTTCAAAAATAACCCAGGTGGAGAGAGGTGGAGGCAGCACCGGCGTGGTCGTGCAGGTAGGATGGCTGGGGTCGGAGCCAGGAGTAACTGAAGGCGGATTTACCTCCCCCTGGCTCTGCGATGGTCTCCATCAGTCCATCGACCGTTCCAAAGAAAATGCTAAGTATAAGCAAAGGCAGCTTACAAGCAAACCCGGAACCAAATGGCAATCCCCTTGGTAGAAATGCTGGTGTTTGCCATGAGGACCAATCTGTTAGCATATTTTCTTTTCAGGCTAGGATTGCGCCACTGGCTTCCCTGTCCTGAACAGCCCCCGTTATTCCCACCCCTTCCGGTGGGAGACTGCTCCAAAAGCCCAGCTCGGAGTGCACCAGGGGTCACACCCACGAGTCTGCATGTACGCACCCATTTTTGCCTGTGCAATTAAAAGTGTGCTATGGCCCTAGCCGGTCTGGCTCAGTGGATTGAGCATCATCAGCCTGTGGACTAAAGGGTCCCAGGTTTGATTCCTGTAAAGGCACATGCCCAGGCTGTGGGCTCAATCCCCAGCAGGGGGTGTGCATCAATGATTCTCTCTCATTGATGTTTCTCTCTCTCCCTCTCTCTTCCTCTCTGAAATCAATAAAAACATTTTTCTTAAAAAGTGTGCTATAAAATTTTACTTTGCACAGACATGTCTGTAGACCTGATAATGTTCTGTCATCTTTTCCATTCTGCACATTGCTCTATGTAGTGTACATTTAAAGATATAATTTACTCTCTGGGTTATATGCACAAAATCATGTGTACTCGAGGACAACGCAAGAGACTTTCAAGGGAAATTATGACTGCAAACGACACTATGTTAACTTCAGAACCCAACCCCCGGGGAAGACACAACTCCACATAGACCGCTGCTCTGTGCAAGATAAATAAGGACACAGGCCCCCATTCCCTTCCCCTGCCTCCCTGCCTCCCACGTCCACTTCCCCGGCCTTGGCCACAGCCTCCGGGCTCCTCTCCTCTGCCCGCACCTGCTCTCTGCTTATTACACGGACGCTTGGCTCATCTGATCCCTCTGCAGGGAATGCCTTTCCCTGCTGCCACAGAGGGAGCCGAGAGGGCGGTTCCGAAAATAAACGTTCAGGAACATGAAATAAAATAAAATGGCTCCGCTTCGGGAGAGAAGAGTGCCTGTGAGCATGGTGTGGGTCCACGTCAGCGGGGCCAGGCCGGCCCGTGTCCACGTGTGCCCCGTGCAAGGGGAAGACACGCCAAAGGGGACAGCGGTCATTAGGAGGCACCGGGCACCAGCCACAGTTCGCACCTGAGTGGCCTAGAAGGCCAGTGAAGGGAAAACAACGTGGACTAAGCTCCTGAAATCTGAGCAAAGGTGCCCTATTACGATCAGATATTGCTGGTTACGCACTTTCTGAAATTTTAGCCAAAGAAAATAAACCTTTCGGTGACAGAGAAATGACAAAAGAATGCTTATGCTTACGCACAGTGGCAGACACTTTATTCTTGAGAAAAAGATACACTTTTCTTTTTAAAAGCAGACCATCCAACCTTTCTTTTACCCGTTTGGCATTCGTGCAAAAAATGCAGTTCCTCCCGGAGAGATGGACTCGATACCCAGAGAGCTGGCAGGGCCTGCGGCTGCCTCCCCACTGGGAGGCCCAGCGCTCCCGGCTCCCGGAGAGAAGGGATTCGGACTGGGGAGGGTTGGGGTGTCCAGAGCCTAGCAGGGTGCCTGGCTGCAGGAGGTGCTGAGGAACACTGTGGATTACACATGTGCTCTCTCTTCCCCGCTGTATGCATAGGGCACGACGCCACCCACACCCCGCAGTTAAAACTGAGTTGAAGAGAAACGCAAACGTATGTCTAGGTCAGTGGTTCTCAACTTCTGGCCCTTTAAATACAGTTCCTCATGTGGTGACTCAACCATAAAATTATTTCCGTTGCTACTTCATAACTGTAATGTTGCTAGAGTTATGAATCGTCATGTAAATATCTGATATGCAGGATGGTCTTAGGCGACCCCTGTGAAAGGGTCGTTCGACCGCCAAAGGGGTCTCGACCCACAGGTTGAGAACCGCTGGTCTAGGCAGAGAGCTACCCACGAATGCTCAGAGCATCACTGCTTCTCATAGCCCCAACCTGGACACAACCCAAGCAGCTGTTGCCTGGGGAATGGAAAAGCAAAAAGATGGTGCATCCATCTGTACCACGGAATACTGCTCAGCAATCTAAAGCAACAAACTGATTGATATGGGTTAAAAGATGGATGAACCTCAAAAGTCAAAAAAGCCGGACAGCTCAGTGATATGAAATTTCTAGAAAAGGCCATACTATGAAGGCATAAAGCAGATCAGTGCTTCCGTGGAGCTGGGGGTAGGAAGGGAGCGTGACTATCACGAGGGGAATTTTTTGGGGGATGAAAATGTTCTGAAATCGGACTGTGGTGATGGCTGCGTAACTGCTTAGATTTGCTGAAATTCACTAAACTATATACTCTTCCAAGGCTTTTATAGTATGTAAATTACTCCTCAATAGAGCTGTTAAAAATGTCTCTTTAGGCAACAGAACCTTCATTTCAAAAACGAGGTATCTGATGTCTGGCAGCACTTTCCCTCCTTGATACGGGCAATTATCACACCAATTCGTTTAGAAAGGTGCTATTATTTCGAGACATAGCTGATGGTTCATAATTCAGCTTCGTGAATCGTTGCTAAGATCGAGAGTAACGTGTTCCATGAGCCGAATAATGATGCATTTCCCGGCTGAACGAGCAGCTCTTTCGCGGAGCTCCTCCTTCCCCCGACACGCTGGGCAGAAGGCAGGCCAGCTGGCCATTCCCTCGCCTCGTTCCAGGGGCTGTTTCATGCTGCTCTTCGTGCCATTTGCGAACAACTGCCTCACATGACAATTCTTCAGCTAAAGTCACTTCGCAGTACCCCCCCAAAAGATCTGATTTGTTAAAAAAAATACTTTAAAACTCCATACCCAAAATAAAACTACCATAGGCTACTGTAGGTTCTCAGAGCTGAATGCATATAAATCTCTTCAGCGCTGACCGGGTAGCTCAGCTGGTTAGAGCGTCGTCCCCATTCGACAAGGTTGTGGGTTCGATCCCCAGTCACAGCACATACAAGAAACAACCAACGAGTGCAGGAATAAGTGGAACAGCAACTCAATGTTTTTTCTCTCTCTCTCTCTCAAATCAATAAAAATAAACAAAAAAAACAAATAAAATAAATTTCTTCACATACATGTATTGATAGGTAGCTAGATGGGTAGATACCGTATTTGTTCTATTTCTCTGGAGAACCCACACTACTGACCGGGTGACCTGACCTGTAGGTGCATGGGATGACGCTCAACCCATTGGGTCACACCAGCCAGGTCTTAATGCACAATCTCTTAAACATCCGGGTGCAAAAAGAACACCTCTCTCCGCATAATGAGGGCAGACAGGATAAGGAGAGTCTGAAGGGAAATGTGAATTTGTTACCAGCTCCCAAACAGAATATTCATTTCTTTGCCCCAAAGGCAAGCAGCTATTGCACTATCGTGTTCCCCTACCTTCGTCCCAGCTTTTCTGGAATAGCCTACGACATTGCCTTCCTTGTCCATGACCTCAATCCCTCGTATGGGCTCAAAACTTCGGGATGCGGCAACATTCATTGCACTGACCTGGGCTGTGGATTGAAGCAGAGAACACAACAGAGATGAGCTTCAGTCCAGGGAGGGACATCTTCTCTGATGTCCAGCCTCTTCCCCTATAGCTGTGCTTCCCCAACCTTCAGTGGCCACCTGACTTGCGGGGCCAACCAGGCTCTCTGCTGGGCGGCGGAGCTGGGGTCAGGGCTGCTGGCCTGTCGGTCTTGGATCCTGACGGCAACCCAGCACCAGGTTCCAGCACCCCGGAAAGTCCAGACTGGCTCCCTAACAGGATTCCAGGAGAAACCCTGGGGGTCCTTTAAATATGCCCCCCTTTTTTGCTTAGCTGGTTTGACCAGGTTTCCATAACAATTTCCCAAATTTTACCACTGACATTCTGCCAACTCTTCAAAGTGCTGATCCCCCAAACCCAAAATCTGGAGCGTGAACCAGTGAACTTACAGACAGCAAACCTAAAAGAGTTGGTTAATGTCTCTGTCACTCCCTTGGTGTCAGATCACCGCGTCTTCCTGTGACCCTAGGAAAGTTCCTTCACCTCCCCCGGCCTCAGTCTCCTCATCTGTAAATGGGGATAATACTGCCTACCCATCAACTGCTGGCAGGATTAAGTGAAAAATACACGTCGAGGGCTTGGATAGTCTTTAGGATGTAATCTGTGTTTCCAGGTCTGTGTTCATCCTTTGACAGCGAAAGGGGTCTCTACAGAGAAAGTGTCACCTCTCAAAGACCTCGTTGGGGCCCGGGGGCACCTGCCAGCTGCAAATGGGGGCTGTCGTCATCCACAGCGTGGCCGACAGACATGGGTGTCCCTGAAGATGGGAGAAAGGCTCAGAGACTACAAGACCGCAAGCCCCCTGCTTACTGAGAATGGCGGCAGGCAAGGTTTCCCTTAGGAAAACGTTTTTCACGGCACTCTTCATGAGGAGCAAACGAAGGAATAACTAGAAAATGAGAGAGAAAAAGCATCACTGCCTGGGACAGGAAATCAGCTGGACACACTCGACAGCAGAGAGCTGGCATCGACCTCATTCCTATCACAGGTGAGGCCTCCGTCAGCGTGCTCTATTTTTATTTTATTGTTTTTATTGATTTCAGAGAGGGAGAGGGAGAGCGAATCATTGATCAGCTGCCTCCTACAGGCCCCCCGATCCCCCACCAGGGACCAAGCCCACAACCAGCTATTTGCCCTGACCGGAAATTGAACCATGACTGCTTGGTTCATAGGCTGATGCTCAACCACTGAGCCACACCAGCCAGGCTCTCTTGTGTATTTTTATTTTACTTATTTATTTTTAAATGTTTTTTCTTTTTGAAATTATAGAGAGAAAGGATGGAAGAGGGATAGAGAGACAGAAACATAGATAAGACAGGAACATCATCAATCAGCTGCCTCCTGCACACTCACACTGAGGATCAAGCCTGCAACCTGGGCATGTGGCCTTGACTGGGAATCGAACTGGCAACCTTTTGGTTCCTGGGTCGACGCTCAACCGCTGAGCCACACTAGCCGGGCTCTGTGTGTTTTTAAATCTGTGTAGCACTGAGATGTTCTCCTGATCATCAGAGGAATACATGGAGGTTTCAAGAAGGGACATTAATGTGTTCAGAGTCGCTGAGCTGTTCAGGAATTAAGCTAGGATACAAACCCAGGCTTATCTGACTCTAAAGTCTACACTTTTAACCATTCTAATATCCTGACATCCAAAGCAATATACAATGTGCATACCATGTTTGTGGAGCATAAATTAATTTTTTAAAAAGATAACCATACTGCACATATGCCTAGAAACTTGGAATACTCACCGGTGACTTTTATTTTCTTCTTTACGTCTTAATCATATTGTATGAATTGTTTAAGATGGAATATAAATTTATAATCAGAGTAAAGTTTTGTTTTGTTTGGAATTCTGAAGAACGAAAGAGATTTTAGCCCTAGCCGGTTTGGCTCAGTGGATAGTGTCAGACCATGGACGGAAGGGTCGCGGGTTTGATTCCGGTCAAGGGCACGTAACTCAGTTGCAGGCTCGATCCTGGCCCCGGTCTGTTGGGCCATGTATGGAGGCAACCAATCGCTGTTTCTTTCTCACATGGATGTTTCTCTCTCTCTGTCTCTCCCCCTCCCACTCTCTTTAAAAATCAATGGAAAAATATCCTCAGGTGAAGATTAACACACACACACACACACACACACACACACACACACAAAGAGAGATTTTAAAATACCTACTCCAAAAAAGGCTGTAGAAGCAATCACTCCTGTCCCTAGTAATATACTCTCGTATGGGCGACGATTCTAGGGGAAAAACAATAGTATATGTTTAGCCAATAGCACAGTTTACCCAGAAAAGATAATTAAAACAAAGAATAACTCCAGAAGATGCAGTACAAGGCTGCAACCCCCTGGGGCCCCTGATACTCACGTAACTTGCGTTTCCATTGACGACGTTGAACGCTGTACTGTAGGTACAGAAAGACAACTGCAGGAAGACAGGGGCGGAAAGTCACATTTTGGTTTCAAGAACAGAATTTAGTAATCGCGACACTGAAATGAGTGCTACCTGAGGTAAAACGATAGACTTTAGGCTTTTCACTGGCACCAGCGACAGAAATACCTTTAAAGGAGGAAAAACAAAACAGTTATGGTGTTTCAGGGGAGCGCGAGCTCGTTGGAGCAAAGACCTTCCCAGGAGAGATGCAGAACTGGGCCCCCAGGAGCTGGGACAAGGAGAGGACAGCGTGATGCAGGGGCCCCCGGTCATGGAACAAGTGATGTTGAATGGGCACCACCGGGGCACTGAGGACACCTGGTCTCGCAGTGGCCCTTGCCTCTGAGCCCTGCAGCTGCGCGGGCAGCTGAGAAGGATGCTCTCCGCAGGGACACAGAGGAGAAGGTGTGGCAGAAGTGGCAGAGCCGTGCTGTCACCGCGTGAGTGCCAAGCTGGGCTGGCCCTGCTGAGGGCAATTCCAGGTCCCAGGTGAGGGCCTGTGCCAGGGCGAGGGCTTGGGGAGACACGGTAAAGGCCCATTCTGTGGGCCTGTGGCAGGAAGCACATCTTAACTCATGGGTGTCCTCCCAGAGTGCTTTGTGCACAGGAGGCAGTCAAAGCCAGGGTCACCCTGTGACACCCTGTGGACCTTCGAGAGGCCCGGCTGCCTGACTAGGTAAGTGGGGCGGGCATGGCGTGGGGCGGGGAGGGAATATGAAGAGCAGACAGGCGCGGGGTAGGGACCCATGAGCATCTCTCAGGCAGCACGGGCAGGGCGGGGAGCTGGGGTTTAGGAGATGGGTGGACATCTTCCTCACCCCTCAGCGTGCCTCCCCGGCTCACACAACAGCAAGGAGCTGCTCACTTACCATGGGCGCCGTGAAAGGCAGGAGAGCTGGCAAAGAGAAGGGGGTCAATGGCTGCAGAGAGGCCAGAAGAGGGCACCCCTCCCCACACCTCTTCTCCAGCCGCCTGGAAGGCACGGATATCAAAGGGTATTTTTTACTCATTCTTCTTATTTTCTTAATAAAAACAACTATATGCATGTGGCAAAAATGTAAACCAGCGCAGCACAGGAAGATGTAACGAGGCTCCCACCCACCAGCCTTCCGAGTCCCTCTCGCTGAAGGTAAGCAGTGTTAACCGGCACCTGCCACCCTGCCATGTGAATGTAATACACCTGTGGTTTATCTATAATAATAAAAGCATAATATCCTAATTAGACCGGACGTCCTTCTGGACGACCTTCCAGACGAAGCCAGTGCCAGCAGCCGGGGGAAGGAAGGCCTACTCTTACACAGATTTCGTGCATCGGGCCTCTAGTAATAATATACAGTAATACAAAATGTGAATTTGCTCTCCTTCCCCGTTCCTAGCACAAATATCCTAAACTTCTTAGAATTTCCCAAGTGAGAGGAACTACTAGGTCAAGGTTATGGTTACTCATAACATGCTCCTTCCAACCACACCCGAGTTTACGGCAGAGGTGTCTTTGGAAAGCCCCTGGGGGTGGAGGCTGGTTGCCAGGGAACCAACCACCTGAGAAAGTTGGACCTGTCTGTCCCACTCCCCTATCCTCCTCCTCCAGGGAGCAGAGAGGGGCCGGGGGTTGAGCTAATCACCAAGGGCCAATGATTTCACCAGCCAGGACAACTAATGAAGCCTCCATTTAAAAATACTAACAGATGCCCGGCCTGCATGGCTCAGTGGCTCAGCATTGACCTATGGACCAGGAGGTCAGGGCACATACTCAGGTTGTGGGCTCAATCCCCAGTGGGGGGCAGGGAAGAACAGGAGGCAGCCGATCAATGACTCTCTCATCATTGATATTTCTATCTCTCTTTCTCCTTTCCTCTCTGAAATTAATAAAAATATATTTAAAAAACAGACATAAAAAAATAAAAATACTAGCAGGCGTCCTGGAGAGCTTTGGGGTTGGTGAACGCATGGAGTGCTGGTAGGGCGGCAACGTGGCTCAGGCCTGGAAGCCGGTCCCCTCACTCAAATCCAGATCTGTCCCCAGCACTGGACACGACTCCGGGCCCCAAATCTGCTCTCCCCACACCCTTCAAATATTCTTTTTAAGCTGTGGTTTCCAGACTCACTGTCAGAAATCCTTCTAGAAAAAAACAATTACAATAAGGCAGGCGGCGTTTTGTAACTCTTAGATATCACCTCTTCCCACCCACCTCTGACCATTAGAATCAGCTCACCTGCAGGTCGGAAAAAGCTGGGGATCAGTTTGCTGCTGTCAGGATGCACTGTTGCCTTCAAAAAGGGAAGCACACAGGTTAGTTTGATGTTTGGTTTTGTTCTTTTCGGGGCTAAACATTAGGAAGGGGCTGAAACTTACGAGACTTCTTTTCCAAGCTTCTTGGATCTAAAAAGAGAAAAAACAAGCAATAGCTTTTGTGTGTGTGTGTGTGTGTGTGTGTGTGTGTGTTTAAAATATATTTTTATTGATCTTGAGAGAGAGAGAGAAAGGGGGTAGGGAGAGGGATAGAGAGAAAGAAACATCAATGAGAGAGGAAGTCACTGATTGGCTGCCTCCTGCACAATCCCCAGTGGGGATCGAGCCCGAAACCCGAACATGTGCCCAGACCGGGAATCAAACCGGTGACTTCCTGGTACCTGGGTCGACGTTCAACCACTGAGCCACACGAGCTAGGCACAAGCAGTAGCTTTAAAGGTGGCTTGAGAGCAAACAAATCTCTCCAGTCTGTTTGTGATGTTGCCTTTGCTCCACTTTTCAGAGTGGAGGGCAGACTGTTACATACCATATGGAGGGCTCAAAGCAAACAGGAAATGAGCTTACAGCAACCAAAGAGATCATCCAAGTAAAGAAAATCAACAAGCCCAGCCGGTGTGGCTCAGTGGTTGAGCATCAGCCCATGCACCAAGAGCTTTCTGATTTGATTCCTGGTCAGGGCACATGCCAGGGTTTTGGGCTTGATCCCCAGTAGGGGCATGCAGGAGACAGCCAATCAATGATTCTCTCTCATTGATGTTTCGATCTCTCTATCCCTCTCCCTCCTCTCTCTCTAAAAATCAATATATATACATATATACATATATTTCAATTAAAAAGCAACAACCAAAACATTAAAAATCCCTAAGTCTCTGACCTTGGAGAGGACTCAAGGCCAATACCTAACCTATCCCTCAGCAGACAGGCCACGTGCAGGCGACACAGCACACCATTAGCTAAGTCCCTTGCAAGAGAGCCAGCCTCTAAGTCCAGAGGCCCAACAAGTTCTTAGAAAAACCAAGTTGAATCTGTGAGCTTTCCACAGGCTGCCTCCCCGGACGGATGTCTGTGGGCCCTGGAAAGCCCCACACGCTCAAGGCAAGGTAGGTATCAAATACAGTGGGGCCTTCGTTCGGAGACTGAGCTCGTTAAGGAGCTCGTTAACTCAAATAACTCTATCAACTCAATGCAAAAAATCAGCTGAGAGACAGCTGGTATCTCAAAAAACTCGTTAGTCGGGACACTCGTAAGTCAAGGCCCCACTACTTGGTTTGAGTCTTTGGGCAGGAATGGAACCCGGCCTCGGAACCCAGCCTCTAATAGGAAATAGATCCAGACTTGGGAGACAGGGCTCCAGGAATCAACTACAGAGAATCCCCACTGATAGCCCTTGCGTGGGAGAAAGCCTGTGATTTTTTTTCTCCTGATTACTAGTTCCTACGACTGGCACCTCACATTAATCCGGCTCATGAGAAGGAATGCTAACTACAAAGAAAAAACAAACCAATTTCAAAAAGTGCATCCCTTGTTTTCAAAGACCACGTTCCAGTTCCATCATCGCTTTCAGAGCATCTGAGGGCAGAATCCCCCACAGGCAACCACACCCAGTCTTGACCCAGGCAGGTGATACCTACCCTTTTGTCCTGCAAGTCATGAATAGACCCATCTTCATTTGTTAACAATAGTTGCCTGGACTTCTCTATTTTGCTCTAAAATAAAATATAAAGAAATAGAGCCATGAGCTCAACATTGTTCCGATTTATCCACAGATGTAAGAGAGTCACAGGCTTGTCACACCTGACTTCAATGGGGCATGTAGCCAAGGCTCTCCACCACTGAGCTTCCGTTAGGATCATCCCAGGGTCATTCCCAGGGGGACCTCCCAGCCGCTCCAGCAGCTGGCCCCACCGGGGCTGCCTTCTCCCCGCTCTTCTCCGAGGGCAACTGTCTCAGTGAGCGATACCACCATCGGCCTGGGTGTGCGAGTCAGAAACCCGCAAGCCCCTACTCTCTCACTCACCCCACATCTCATCAGTGCAGTCTTCTTTCCTCTCTTTTTTACTTAATTTGAGGGGGAAATTAAATACAGAAAATACAAAGCATGATCATATGCTTAGAATCTCCTCATCCAGAATTAACAACTGTAAACATTCCGTTCTATTGGCTTCTCCCCCTCCTGTCACCCCCCCCCCGCCCCCCAGCAAAACAGCCATCACCCAGTCTTCTTTCCCTCCCCATTCTACCAGAGGTAACCACTATTACGAGTTCAAGGTATAAACTTCCAGTCCAGGTTTTTATACCTATACAAACATGAATACATGTCTCCATAAACAAATACGTAGCATTGGTGTGCTTTTGGTAATTTGCATAAGTACTGTATTTATGCATCTTGCTTTTCCACTAAACATCACAGACACCATGTCTTCCCATTTAACATCACACATATTGTATGTTTCTACTTAGCATATGCTGGTAACTAGGTTATCGCTTTGAACAGCTAATCAATATTCCACTGTATGAATAGACCACATCATATTTCTCTGCCGATGGACATTCAGGTTGTTTCCTGTTATAAATAAGGCTGACGGGAGCATCCCTGAGCACAGGGATGAGAGTGTCCCTTTGAGTCTGGCCCTAAGGGTCACTGCTGGTGACAGGATCTCTCCTACCTCCCTCAGCCACACCTGGTTCAAACCATCTTTCGCTTGGAAGCAAGGCCACTCCGTAAGTGACACACAAGGTCCTTTAAGAACTACCTGGATCCCCTGCATACAAAGCCCTGGTGACTGGGTGGCCTGCTCTCCTCCCCTGATCTTTCCTCACAGTCCCCTCTCCTTCTCAGCCTTCCTTCAACACCCTCCCCCAATTCCCTGTGACACCCCCCGCTTGGATCCCTAGCTCAAGGCCTGTGACTAGCACTGCCAGTCTGTCCTCCATCCCCAGCAAGGTTCGTCTGATCCCCTCTGAACCTCCAGCACCTGGCCCGGGGCTTGGTACTCGCGTTAACTGGACGCCCACTTTTACTTATTACCCTTCCAATCTACCAAGCTCATCCGAAGCAGTAAGAGCACGGTGACCTATGTGGGTTGTTATTTCACCTGCTTTCCAAAGGGACACAGTCTTCCTGTTTCAGAATAAAATGTAAAATCCATTAGCGCCGAAAGCAAGAAGAATACTTACAATGGAAATGAACAAATTTGTAGGATCCAGTAATTCTGTCCACTGAAGACATCTCTGAAAAAAGGACTTGAGAGGAGGGAAAAGCACCCAAGACGTTAACAGCAGAACAACGAATATCTCATCAGTGCAGTCTTCCCCCCCCCCACCAACGTTCACGGTTAACGTTATTTCTGACAACCTAACGGGGCTGTCTACCTGCAGCATCCCCCAGATCCCCATCCTACGGTGAGAAAGCTGAGGCTGAGAAGGGCTCACTGCCCTCGAGGGAGCCCAGCCAGGCAAAGGCTCAGCGGCCTGTGCTCGGAACCACCCCAGGATCAAAGTGCTCTTGAGGAATCAAACAGCGGACGCGTGGAGAAAGGAGGTATGGTTTGCTTCAAAAAGCCCCCGGACGCCACAGGGTTTGAGTCCTGGCTCTGCCTGGGGACAGCTTGGCCTCCCTGCCCCTTCTCTACTTCCCCACCTAAAAAGTTTGGCCTGGGCCCTACTTCAGGTGATGGCTGAAAGAGAAGGTCCTAGAACGGTGCTGTCCAATTTGCCACATGCGGCCATGGAGCCCTGGATAGGTGGCCAGGCAAAATCAAGATGTAATTTATATGTAAAATATACACCGGGTATCCAAGACCAAAAAAAAAAGATGTAACCCTGGCAAGGTGGCTTGGTTGGGTTGTGTTGTCCTGTAGACCAAATGGTTGCAGGCTCGATTCCTGGTCTGGGCACGATCTTAGGCTGTAGATTCAACTCGCAGTCAGGACCCTCCCAGAGGCAACCCACAGATGTTTCTCTCTTCCTCTCTCTCTGAAAATCAAAAAAACATATCCTCGGGTGAGGATTAAAAAAAAAATATGTAAAATATCTCACTAATAATTTTCATATAAATCACACGTTGAAATGTTAATGTTTTGTATCTACTGGGATAAAGACTATATATTGCTCAAAGTAATTTCGGATGTTTCTTTTTGCCTTTGATAATCTGGCTACTAGAAAACTTTAAATTACCAAATGACTCCCGTCACATTGCTATTGGACAGCGCAGCCCCGGCCACTAGCTGGAGGCGGGGCCCGGGCGGCCGGTCTCGGTGAGTGGCCGAGCCTATGGAGGTTGGGAGGCAGGGGACTCCGGGAGGCCCTGTTCCTGTCCACCCTGAGGCCAGCCCGAGCTCAGCTCCAGCTCGGGCAGCAGAGCGCGGACACCTGCGAGGGGGACTGACTTCTCTGCAGGGCGACCCTCCCTCGCCCGGCCTGGGGCAGAGGTGACACGGGGTAACAGCTAGGGTTCCCCTTAGGACCCTCCGGAGAATGCGGTGGGGAGGGGGTCGTGCGACCACGTGGCCTGCCCAAGGTCACCGGGCCAGCCGGCGGCTCCCCGCGCCGCGCCCGCCCCGCCCCCGCCGCGCCCGGCGTACTTGGCATTGGGTCATCCAGAAGTGCACGTTGGGCTCCATGCGGGCGGCTCCCGCTGCACAGGCGGACCCGCACGCCCCCGCGCTTCCTCCTCCTGCGTGTCTTCCGGGGACCCACGTGATGGCCGGAGAGGCCGCGGCCGCCGGGCCGGCGGGGAGGAGCCGGTGGCGTGCCCCGCCCCGGGCGTGCGCGCACCCAGTGCCAATCCGCGGCCCGCGCGCCGGCTGCTCCGTGTCTCCACGTGCCGGCGCCCCGCGCGCCCTGTTTCCGCAATCCGGTCCCCCCCAGCTCATCCCCTCTGCTCCGTGTCCCGGCTCCTGGCGCTCGACGCGCCTGCTGCTCGGTGCCACCGCCTTCTAACGCCCCCAGATCCCACACTTACACCCCCTGTCCCAGGCCCGGCGCACCCACAATTCCTGTGAGCCCACCTCTCCCACAGACCGAGTCATCTCCACGCTGCATGGCCACCCCTTAGGTACATAGAAGCCCCGTATCGCAGCCCCCGCCTCGGCTTTGGACATGACCCTGGAAAATCCCCTCTGCTGCCCCTTACAGCCAGTGTACGGGGACTGGGGATAATCAAAACCGCTACGTAAGGTTGGTGGCCCAGTGGAAACTGAAAATGTGGACTCATTTCAAAAAGACTGAGAAAGGTCTACATCAGGGCATGAAACCCAGCCGAGTATAGTTTTTTCTCCAGCTCTGGGGCAAAACCTGATCAAGTAACGGCAATTGGTAGAGAAACAAATGCATCTTCCTTCTTCCTGCTGTCCCTCACCCTTCGCCCAGTGGGATGGGCAGGGGTTGTGTGTTGGTAGAAGCTAGCGTGGATGTTTAGGGTGCTCAGGGGTCCTCAGGAGTCCTGGCTGGTGTGGCCCTAGTCAAGTCAATCTCTCCAGGCTATTCTGAATCTGTACAATAAGGTCACTGAATTGTACCGACTCAGGGTTTGGTTGAGGGTCAATGACAGCAAAGAGGCAGACGCCCTAATAGGGCGCAGGTCCTTTGGAAGTGCTCAGTTTGGGCCATTAATACCCCACCGACCTATTTGTTCTCTTGCCTTCCCCTCCGGAACATGAAACCAGGTCAGGGTTTCCTTCAGGCCCATGTGCCTTTGCAGCTCCTTTTGCTCAGCCCATCTGGTTTACCTTTCAATAATCTTCAAAAGTTCACCTCCTCTCCCAGGAAACCTTCCCTGATGCCCACAGCTGGGTAAAGGGCCGTCCCCCCCCTTATGACCCAGGAATACATTTATTGTACCAGTCTTTAGCACACCTGGATTATTCTGTTGGCCCTACAACCGTGTCACCAATCCAGCCCAGCTGACCGCTCTGCTCCCCTCTTTGGACCCTTGCCGTGTAGCCTTAACAAAGGTGCTAGTGATCATTTTAGAACAAGCTGATGTAACTCTTCTCAAACCTTCCTGACAGTTCCCATCTGGGAATAGAACCCAAAGCCCTTAGTGTGCCCCTGAGGCACCCTGGGCTCGTGAGCATTCTCCTCCTTCACTGCTCCTGAGGTCACAGGGCCCTTCAAGTCTTCATTCCCACAAAAACGCTCTTGCCTTGGGGCCTTTGCTACAACCTTCTTGTCTCCCTAACTCACTTACTTTATACATGTTATTTCTTTTGATCCTCATCAAAACCCTTAGGTAGGTACAATGATTGCCCTCATTTGACAGATGAGCAAGCAGACCTGGAGAGACGGTCTCTCCCCAAGGCCTTCCCTGACAACCCTATCTAGAACACCTGCAACTCTCTGCTCTAGCCTCCGCTCCACTTTCCTTTCCTTCCAGTCTATGTATTTTTATTATGTTTATTGTATTTTCCCTCTAGAATGGAGGTGCATGAAGGAAAAGGTTTGTCTTTTTTTTGTTCATTCTTGTGCCTCCAAAAAAGCACCTGGCATATGGCAGGCACTCAAGAGCTTATTGAAATAATGAACAGATGCTTCCATTTCTCTCTTGCCCCATAAACTGGGCTCCTTGGGCATGGAGCCATCGTCTCATTCATCTCTGTGGGCCCCGATTGAAGTTAAATGCTCAACAAATGTCTGTTGGCATAGTCGGAGGAACACTAGAGGCCACAACAGCTGGAACAACAAGGAACGGCGATAAAAATGCAAATATTTTAAAATATATTTATTTTTTTATTATATGCTTTACATTGAGTGCCTCAGAAAATATAATTATAATGATTTCAAAATGCAATTCCTGGATTAAATAAATATCCCCTATAATTACCTTCAATCAATATTTAGAAATGTATGCAGACACTAAGTCAGCTAACAAATAAAATAAACAAAATAACTATTGAAACTACAAATCTCAGGGATGAGGAGCATGCATGATCAGTTAGGTCACTTTGCCACTGTTTTTTTTAAATACATGATTCACATTGTTTCAATCAAATAAATCTCCACTCCAAGAGTTACATTAGACTGCTAATACTAAAACTTAAAGCTATGATCTTGTTACCTTAAAAAAAATTCAGTTTAATACAAAGAAATTCAGAAAGAAAATTTCAGGACTCTTGATCAGAGGCTTTCGCTACTTGTCCTACAGTGGTGTACACAGGTTCAGGTAAGGCTAAGAAGAGAGTTTCTTATTGAAGACATGATCAAAGAAACAGGTGAACTAGGCAGTCTATAAACTAGCTAGCCATCAAGAAGTTACCAATAAAGGACTCATGTTAGTAACTAACCATGTTTAAAAAGCCTTAGCCAATGTTACAAAAACAAAACATTTATAGAATATTACTTATGAATGCAAACATAATTGATTTTTGCTTTCTACACATAATCATCTTCGAGATGCTAAAAATGAGCTCCAACTGTGGTTCTATTGAGAAGCTGCAGGTGTACGTGAGATGATCTACTGATTTACCTTCTCAAAGTATTCTTTGGAAGCAGTTGGATGCGGCTTGATCTGAAAATACAAACATTTAATTAGCTGACTTGAAGATAGTAGTTTCAAAAGTGAGTTGAAAATTCTCAATTTTTAGTTTCTTAAAAAATAAGTTATTGGCTGCCTCCTGCACACCCCCTACTGGGGATTAAGCCAGCAACTCAGAAATCAAACCATGATCTCCTGGCTCATAGGTTGATGCTTAACCACTGAGCCATATCGGCCAGGCTACCCTAAAATTCTTTAACTTTTTCCAATGCTGGCCTGTTTCCTTTAAAATACATGGATGAAAGTTACATTAACAGCTTGCCTAACCCCTGGTCCCGCCTCTCAGCAGCAGCATCTGTGGCCCTGCTCCAAGCGTGGGCTCCTTCTGTGAACACTCCAGGCCAGCAGCCCTTGAGGCAGTGAGTACCTGGGATCCTCTGTTGGGGCCCCAGGGCTTTTGAAAAGGAAACCTACCGTAGGAGAATCTGGGGTCCAATTTGCTGGGCAGACTTCTCCATGGACTTCCACAAACTGGAATGCTTTCACCAGGCGGAGGGTCTCTTCCACGCTTCGGCCCACCGGGAGATCATTGACACTCAGATGCTTGATGACTCCATTGGGGTCAATGATGAAGAGACCTCTGCATCAGAACTGTCCTCATTAGAGCATCCACAGCACCAGAAGTAGAAAGAAGCTAACTTCTACCCTCTTCTGGCTTTAATTCCCCTTAAGAAAGCACTTGTTAAGTGCTATCATCTGCTTAAAACAAAGTTTCCAGTGTTAGGCAGGCTGGACCAGGCCACCATGGAAAACAGGCAGTATGGTCAAGTTTACAAATGGGACCTAAATGTCGCCAGGGATCTAAAAGTCACAGAGAGCAGAGACTTCTTTCCTTATCAGTGACTTAGCAAGCATTCTTTGGGCGGCTTTATCAACTCTTGGCAAGAAACCATAAGCAAACGGGAAGGGATGCACATGTATTTTATCTATAGTCAGTAAATACTTATGAAATGAGTGAATTCTTGAGTACATGGGGGAAAAATCCCATGGGAAAATCTTTGCAGGAAGAATTAAGTCTATGCAGAGCAGAAATCTAAAGGAAGAACCCACTTGAAACATCTATACATATATATATTTTACTTTAGAATAGTTTTTTTAAATTGAATTTATTGGGGTGGCATTGGATAATAAAATTATATAGGTCTCAGGTGTACAATTCAATAATACATCATCCACATATTGTACTGAGTGTTCACCACCCCAAGTCAAGTTTCCTTCCATCACCATTTATTCCCGCTATAAAAGTGCTTCCTGGAGGTAAAGAACCACCCAACCCCTCCCTCCTTCACTCAGCGGCCGTCAAGATGCCAGTTCTAAGGTACGTTCTCATCTCTCCCAGAAAGGCTGAGCTTGAATGTGGGACTGTTAAAGGCAGAAAGCTTTCACACTGAAAGGAAAAAAGGTGTAACCACAGAATCAACGAGGACAGAAATGACATTCTGAGACGGGTCATGCCAGCTCCCAGGACCCGTGCTAACCACTGTAGCTGCCTCATCTTGCTTAGTCTTCACAACCGACCTGGGAAGTACGTTCTCATTTTAGTTACGGAAAAGCTGGGACTCAAGGAGGTTATATTACTTGCCCTGAGTCACACAGCTATTTAGGAGCTGAGCTTGAATGGACAGACGGACGGACACACACATACTCCAGCTGTTTTTGATTCCAGGGCTTTTTGAGATCTCCCCCATTCCAGGATTCTGACTTCTGCCCTGCTAGTTCCCCTTCTCCAAAGATGCCAGGAACGTGCCCCCATGAAAGCGGCTCTCAGAAACAGCAGAGCAGTACGAACATCAAGACACGATATCCTTCTTCAGAGAGAGACATGGTGGTGCCGGGGGAGGGGTCAAGGGAGAGGGGGGGGACAAACATGTCTGGGCTATTTCTGACAGATGGCCAACCCTCGAAGGAGGCATTCATCAGTGCTTAGAAAAAAGCTAAAATTAAGGAATTTTGGTTTTCCAAATGCTTTACCAAGGTCTCTATAAATTCCCTAAGAAGTGGGATGATGCTAAACATGAAAAACTATTTTAAATTCATAAGGAACTGGATCTTACCTTAGTGCAAGACCAGGACCTTCTAACAGCACACCGTAGTCTCGGGAAATCTGCTTAGTCAAATCTGACAACAGTGGGATGTTCATGTGGCCCAAACCGCCATTCTAATGAAAAGGCAAACAGGGCTGGTTCTTATCTGTGCTCTCACAACA